GGCCAGGCCTCCCTGCAACTCTCGGATCTCACTGCCTGCACCCAGGCGTCCTCATGCCCTCCCAGGGCTGGCAGACTGCAGCAGAAGTGACTCTGCCCTTCCTGAGCCTGGGCCTCCAGGGGCCTGGCCTGCATCCCCCTTGGAGTACCCAGCATGTGAGTGACCCAACCTGGCCCCTGGAGGAGGAGAGCCACCATGGCCCATCTGGCAGCTGCCGCCTGAGATGCAGGAGGGAGCCCCGCCCAGGCTGCCTGCAGAGGCTGGAGCAGCAGGGACCACAGGCCTCGCTGGCCACCGTGGCCAGCTTGAGCTGCAGCAGCACAGCAAATGGGCTGCCGAGTGCTGGGCCAGCATTGGGTTTAGATGCTGAAGTGTGCTCCTCAGGCCACCCGCTGTCGTGAAAGCACACCCTTTGACTCTTTCCAACCATTCCAAAATGGAAAAGCTCTCTTACCTGGGGCCCTGCGAAAACAGGCTGCAGTTTCAGTAAAGAAACAACTGCCACAAACCAGCAGCCCCTGGCCCTTCCACTCTCCTCTCCCTTCCTGCCTGGGCCCCCTGGGCATAGCTCTCAGGGAGAGGCAGCGACCCTGGTGGCCCAAGGGCGGCTTCGCTGCGCATGACAGTTACTCAACATGAGATGGGCCAAGAGTTCCCTTTTTGGGTCTCCATCACTGCCTCGTCACCACCAGCGCTCCTGACACTTGGCTGTCCCGGCCTGTGGTGGGCGTCTCAGCCCTGGCTGCCTGGGGGCGGGCTCTGACTGACCTGTGAGTCCTGTTGGCACTCCCCCACTCCCTCCAGCTTGGCCCCAGGGTGTCTCCCCGAGGGTCCTGCAGCCCTGGCCTTTCACTTCTCACTTCAGCAGCCTGGTCATGGCAGTCTTAGTCAGCTGGGCCTCTGTGACAAACTCCTGCAGAGTGGGTGGCTGCAGCAGCAGACCTTTATTTCCTGCAGTCCTGGAGGCYGCAAGCCAAGATCAAAGCGTGGGCAGGGCGGGTTTGTCCCACGGCCTCCTCTTGGCTTGCAGATGGTGGCCGCTTGCTCTCCGTCACTGTAACGACATACCTGACGTAATTAACTTAAAGAGTGCAGGTTTCCTTCCGCTGTAGTTGGAGAGGTTTCGGTCATGATGGGGGCCTGGGCTTTTAGGTGTGTGGCAAGGGGCACATCATGGAGGGAACTTATGACCGCAGACCCGCTTACCTCATGAGCCAGGGAGCAGACGAAGGCGGTCTGGAGACTTGGCTGTGGCGGACCATCGCCCTGGCACGTGTGAGGCAATTAAAAAAAAAAAGGAAGAAGGGGGGTCACCAACCCCTTCTAAGGCACATCCCAGTCCTGCAGACCCCCACCAGCCCACTTCTTAAAGCCTCTCCACCTCCCTAGGGCACCACTGGGACCCAGTCTCCACACCTCGCAGTCTCCTTCCCGCGTGGCTGGCGTGGCCTTTTTGCCTGTGCCTTCTCCAGGCCTGTGGGGCCAGACCCCAGCCTGTGGCCTCAGGCACTCTTTATCAGCTCTTTGTCGCCCTGGGCTCAGGGCTGGGGTCTGTCTGACTCTGGAGGGCACAGGTCTGTCCGCAGCTCCTAAAACGGCTCACATCCTGTCACGGGACCCGGTGGCTCCCTTTGCTTCCTGGATTAATCTAGGAGCCCTGAGCCGTAGTTTCTCTGTGCAGCTGGCAGCCACTAGGGCTGCTTCTGTGTTTTGGCTGCTGTCAATCACACTGCTGTCGACATGGCTGTACATCCATGTCCCCCTTGCTTTGGGATGACACCTGGGCAGGAGCTGCTAGCTCACCTGGGCAGTCTGTCCAGCCCTTAGAGAGCCGCTGGGCATTTTCCATAGTGCTGGCACTTCCCATTCCCATGGGGCTGCTTCTTGGGGTGATGAAAATGTTCTAAAATTAATGTGGTGAAGGTTGCACAACTTCCCAGATGTACTAAAGCCATCACACTTTACACTTTAAATGGCTGAATTGTGTTGGTGTGAATTAGATCTCAATAAAGCTATTATTTTTAATTTTTTGGTGGGTGGTTACTGGAGATTGAACTCAGGAGCACTTGACCACTGAGGCACATCCCAGCCCTTTTTTGTATTTTATTTAGAGACAGGGTCTCCCTGAGTTGCTTAGCGCCTCACCATTGCTGAGGCTGGCTTTGAACTTGCAGTCCTCCTGCCTCAGCCTTCAGAGCCACTGGGGTTACAAGYGTGCGTCACCGTGCCCAGCAGTTGTTAATTTATTTTTTTTAGAGAGAGAGAGACGGACAGAGAGAGAGAATTTTTTAATATTTATTTTTTAGTTTTTCGGTCAACACAACATCTTTTTATTTTAATTTTAAGTGGTGCTGAGGATCGAACTCRRYGCCCCGCGCTTGCCAGGTGAGCGCACTACCGCTTGAGCCACACCCCAGCCCCAGCAGTTGTTATTTTTAAAGACAGTACAGAAATTATAATTTAATGAGGATCAGGGGCTGGGGTTGTAGCTCAGTGGTTGAGCACTTGTCTGACATGCGTGAGACACTGGATTTGATCCTCAGCACCACATTAAAAAATAAATAAATAAATATATTGTGTCTATCTACAACTAAAAAAATTAAAAAATAATAATTTAATGAGGATCAAATTGTTAAAATTATTAAAGTTCCTTGGGTTCTGAAACACTGAGTTGCATATTCTTCCGTGCTTCTCAGAGGTCAGGTGTGATCCCAGGGCCCATGAAGCGCCTTCTGCCTCACCTGGGCACACCAGACCTGCAGTGTGGGAGCGTCATGAGTTTTTGTGCTGCAGTGTCCCCAGCTGCCCAGCAGTGCTGTGAAGGCACCCKCCTCAGGCCTCGGAGAGCCGCCCCAGGCGTGGGCAGCAGGGCCCTGAGCCCCACAGGCATCCCAGAGCCCCACATGGGCAGGGTCTCCCCAGCTTGAGCTGCGGTAGCCACAGAGTAGGCGCTCCTTGGTAGGTGTCGGCAGTGGCCTCGGTGGCCACCACTAGGCACAGGAGTCAAAATCTATATGGAGTAAAGTGAAACAAGGTTTCGAGTCGCTCAGCTGGATTGGCTGCAGTGTGTGTGTGCCCAAGCATGGTGCTGGGGTGGGACCCAGGCCTCGCTCATTCTGGGCAGGCGCCCCCACCACTGCGCCACATGCGGCTCCTGGCCACTGTCCTCATCTGCCTTTGCCCTCTGAGATAAGGAGAGACCTCCAGGGGCTCATCCGAGGGTCTGTGTCTCTGTAGCTGCCAGGTGCTCCTTGAAGAGACGAAGACCTCCCTTGGGGGCACCACCCGGGGAGCATGTGGCCTCTGGCACAATTCACTCTGCTCTTGGGCAGGGTCGGGAGCCAGCAGGAGCACCTGGGGCCAGAGAGCGCTTCAGGGGGCTCCAGAGAAGCAGCCAACAAGGTGCCAGCCAGGGCCACCCGGGCCTGCCCGCGTCCAGCAACCTGAAGGCCCAGCAGTCTGGCACCTGCTGCGAGCCTCGAAGCCAGAGGGACAAAAAGGCAGGGGTGGGGATCTGTCTGGGAAGACCTGGCCTGGAGGGGACATCTGAGTAGCCACCCGCAGGCGGGGGCAATGCTGAAAGGGTTGGGAGGGCCTTGAGCAGGGGGAAGACGCGGAAAGGGTGGGCTTGGAGGGACCCCCTGGCTGCTGGAGGACAGAGAGAGGCTGTGGGGGTGGGGCCGTGGGGCAGGCCCTGCCGGCGGCTCTGCTCCCCTGCTCCTGGTGGAAGCCCCAGGCCCATTCCACGCAGTCTCCCTCGTGGTCTTCCTGCCGGGGCTGAGTCAGCCCAGGCCAACAGCTGACTCGACATACTGTGTCACTGACACAGAGACCTTCTTATGTTTCCCTGAACCATAGAGTGTCACAACTTTGTGGCAGGTGTTAGGAGTCACCTAGAGATGGTCTAAGGTCCGTAGGACCCTGCGGCAGGTCCTGTGCAGATGGCATGCCCCGTAGCACCCAAGTTTTGGTGTCTGCGAGGTCTTGGAACCCCCTCCCTGTGGACACCAAGGGATGGTGTGATCCTTTGTTTGCCCCCGAATTCCTCTCATCTGCCACCTGCCTGCGGGCTCCGCTGTCTCCTGTGATCTGTGTGGCGAGGGCTGAAATCTCTCCTCATCCCTTTCCCTGGTAAAGKCCCCTCCACTTCCACGCCTCCCCTGGTGGGTGACAGAGAGCAAAACAGCACCTGTGCTGGCTTCTCTGCGAGATGGGAGCCCCCCACCCTCCTCCTTGGAGGGGCTCCTGGTGACTGCAGGGCGGACAGTGCTGTCCTCTCTGTGGGGAGCCAGGTGACGTGGATGAGGGCTCACCGGCAGCCGGTTCTCACACAGGAACAGTCCTTGGTGCTAAGGGACCTTCTGCATCTTAACAACCAGGTGGTGAACTGCTCTGTTAAGCCAGATGGCCCCCAATTTAGGGTGATCCAGTCGGGTCTGCCTTGCAGCCCRGCGACGGCACCCTGCGCAGCCGTTCCGCTCTCACTTTGTGTGCGGTGCTCACAGATCACACAGGTCGCGATTCTCCACCCGAATTCCAGCTCTGTGCGGGGCAATCTCGTCCTCGCAGGCTGGCGCTCGGCGGTGGAATCTAGGAGAGGGCTGTGCTAGATGCAATTCCGGGTCACGGTCATCTTCCACTTGGTTTTATCGGCTGCAGTCACTTGGGCATCGAGTGGCATCTACACCGTGAAGTCAGCTGTCTTGGGAGGACACTGATGTTGGGCTCAAAGACGAGCCTCACCAGGGGCTCACCCGGGAAGCAGCAGAATGGGTTTGGTCCCAATGGCCACGAACCCTGCCCTGGTTCCCCTCGGGGTTGTTGAGATGGTTGAAGGGAACTTGAAACTGGGCCTGGGCCCCAGGAAGCTCAGAGGCGCTGGCAGACTCAGAAGGTGTCCCGCTCGGGTTGGCCGCAGTGAGTCGGGTTGCTGGAGTTCCACGTCCGGCTCAGGCGCGCTGAGAACTGCGTCTGATCAGCTCGGGCTTTTGTGATTCCAGCACCCAGCCGCCCCCAGCCTTTCCTCTCCCGGCCTCCGGGGCCAGTTACTCCGTGCAGCCGGCTCCCGGGATGGACCCCTCTCTGAACCTGGCCTTCGCCCCGGCAGCCCAGCCACCCAGCCCTGGAGCCGCCGCAGGGTATGGCTGCTACCAGCCCCACTCTGGCCAGGACCTTGGTTACAACAACCAGCCCCAGGAGCCTGTCCCCGGGCCCACCTCTGCACCCACCTATCAGGTACCCCACTGCCAACGTGGCGGGAGACGTCGTGTGGCATGGATGAGTGTGGTGGACTCCCTCGGACCCCGTCCTGCAGGCCTTGTATGGTCACCTTTCCTTCTAGCACTGTCTGTGAGGTGTGGGAAGGCAGTTGAATTACAGTTCCCTCCCAGGGGGGCMGTCCCCTCCATCAGGGAAGCTGTGCCCGAGGAGATCCTGGGGACAGTGGCTGCTGAGCTGCACCTCCTGCAGGCTGCCCAGCGGAGGGCCTCTCCAGTGCTCTCCCGCCCACAGCCCCTCCTCCTGGTCTGCAGCTTGGGACCTGCAGCTCTCCTGCAGTGCTGTGACCAGTCCTGCCTCCAGCTCCTGCCCCCACCTCATCCCCATCCACATCAGTGAATGACATCACAGGCACCAGAGACCCAGCATGGCACCCATCAAGCCCCTGTCTTTGTCCCTCTCCCTACTCCTCACCAAGGCCTGGGACATCTCCCTCCAAAACCGCCCGCCTTCCAGTAGCCTACTGAAAATCAGTCAACTCTTGGTCACTAGCATCAGCTCCACTAGGGCCGCTGGGTCCACCTCTGTCTGCGCTGTGTCCCCAGTTCCTCTACCAGGGCTTGTCACGGGGCGGAGGGCACGGGGAGTGAGTGACTGAGCTGGGGCCTGTGGGGAGCCTTCCCAGCCCAGGCCCTGAGCTGCTCCCCCTCTCTCCCGCGGAAACCCTCACGCAGGACACTTACAGCTATGGACAGTCGACGGCCACCAGGAGCTACGAGGACAGACAGCACTACGAGGCTGCTGCCCATCAGCCTGGGCCTGAGGCTTCGGACTCGCTCTGCCAGCCAGGTGGGTGTGCAGGGCCCAGGGGCAGGACAGGGGATTGGCACACAGGCGGGATTCACGAGGTTCCACCTGCAACCTTCTAGGAGACCAGGGAGTGTCCCCTGCGTGTCACATAGGCCCCGGTCTCAGCGGGCGGCTAGGCCTGCGAAGAGGGCAGAGAGCTGATGGCTTTCTCAGAGGCACTTTGCGGGATGGAGGGGGCGAGTTCTGTCGGGGAGACACAGGGATAAGGTGGGGTGTGTAYGGCCCTTCTCTACCCAGCACCAGAGGGGGAGCCAGAGCTGGAGGCCATGGTGGGCCAGGGTCTCGGGCCTGTCACTGCCAGGTCACTGACAGGGCCTGGGCTCCGGCTTGAACTGCCAGTGAGCTCCAGTCAGCAGCACCCGGCAGGCCCCCAGGACAGTGCCTCTGGGAGAGGGTGGTGGGAGATGGGCCTGACCTCTAGGGACCCGGGAGGCCACAGGAGCACAGGGGTGGGCAAAGCCAACCTCAGCCCCACAACCGGCAGCAACAGCCAGAGCAGAGCCACCAACCTGCCCCATGGCCACGAGCGACTAGAGCCAGGCCTCCATTTGCACCCTAGTTCAGGTCCCCGTCCCCATTGACCCAGACTGCCTGTCCCTCTGTCCCTGTGGTCAACTCTGTTGGGATCGCCCCTCCCCCTCTCGTTTCTCTCCCTCTCAGGACCGAGCCACCCGAGCTAYGGGGCGTGTGTGTACTCAGCAGCCAGCGCTTACTACCCTCCGCCGCCCCCCCAGACACAGCCCTCGCCCCCCTCGGGGCCTTCTCAGCAGCTGCAGCCACTGCCACCCCGGCAGCCTTCCCCGCCGCCGTCTGCACCGGTGGGCTCAGTCCCATGGGGTGGCCCAGGAAGCAGCCCTAGGGACAGCTCCGCTGGCAGCTTCCCTGAGAAGTTTCCCAGCAGGCCACCGAGGCCCAAGGTGGGCCCCAGGCAGCCCCAGCTCCACTACTGCGACACCTGCAGGATCAGCTGTGCGGGACCCCAGGTCAGCCTCTGCCCTGTCGAGGGTGGGCACAGGGCAGGGCCACTGCCTGCTGACAGGTCTGCTGGGAACCGTGCACTGTAAAGCGTGCGTTGGCATCGCCTCAGCACAGGCCTGCTGGCATCTGGTGGGAGAAGTGGGAGCTGGGCACAGTGCTGAGACCCAGTCCTGATCCCGGGGCTCTCTGCTGTCCCGGGAGGTGAGGTGCAGCCAGTGGAGACACAGGTGTGGCTTCCAACGTGGACAGGGGTGGCGTCCCTTTGCTGGGGGACAAGCAGAGCCACAGGCAGACACAGAGACCTGGGGTGTGTGCCCATGTAGACACACGTGGGTGCCTGTATGTGCTTTTGTGTAGGCGTGTGTGGGTATGAAGACCTGTGCGTGTGCCTGTGTGCTCCTGTGCATGCATGCGTGAGAGAAGGGGAGGATCTCCCTATCACACGGCAGGAGATTGTGGTCTCAACACTCAGAAGTCACCCAGGGAGACTGTGGCCTCCTTCCCTGGAAAGAATCAGACCTCAGGCTCCGTCTTGGCAGAGCACGCAGCCCGAAGGGAGCGCAGAGGCGTGCAGGGGAGCGGAGTCCTAATCAGGCTCTGGAGACTCTAGAGAAGCCCCCAGAAGGTTCCTCAGGCCCCAGGGATGCAGCTGAGGGCACGTGCTGGGGGCCAGGGCAGGCCCCACCCACCTGCCCGCCCCTTCCTTGTTGGGGCTCTCCCAGCGGCTCTGACCCCGCTGGGTTCCCACGCTCTGTCAGAGTCTGGGACAGAACCCCTGAAGCGCGCCCCTACATCGCGCACGCCCTTGGCAAGGCCTGCCTGGCGCACCCCACACCTGGCTTCCATCTCCAATAGAGCAAAAAGGTGAAACCATGGCGGGCTGGCCGGGGGCACGCAGCGCGCCTCTGTGAGGCTCAGGGTGCACGGGAAGGGGCAGCGCGGGACCGGCCTGCGGGGTCAGGCTGTGGCTGGCCACCCCCGAGTGGCACCTGGCTCACAGGAGAGGCCTGGAGGGCCAGTGCTCTTCAGCCAGCGCTCAGCACGCTCGCTCCACGTGGCGGTGCGCGCCTCGCTCCCGCTGCTCTGACGCCTCTCACGAAGCCCACACGACGCCCCAGCCCTCACCCCAGCATCTGTGCAGCGCCCCGACTCAGGAGTCCCGCTTCCACTTGTCCCGTGTGTGTGTTTCTGTGCTCATGTCACCATCCRCGTGAGACCATCCCTCCAGGAGCTTGGAGCATGTTGCTAGCGCCACAGTGTCCCTCGCGCTGCTGTCTCCTACCCATGTCCCTCCCTCACTGTGACAGGGCCATCAGGGTTCTGTGTCACGCAGCCTGGGCCTGCTGTCCAGGGGGAAGCGCAGGGGCGTGCAGGAGAGCGGAGTGACATCCTCATCAGTCTGGGGATTCTGAAGTTCCAGAAAGCATGGGTCCCCAGGGCGCCAGGGCCCCGGAGGGCAGCACTTGTGCATCTCCCTAGTTGTCCAAGTGAGAGAAATGGCTGCACCTCCCAGGCCACCAGGGGACCACGGGCAGGACCCCTGACATCCCCCTCTCCCACCTCCCCCTTCCCTGTCTGTCTCTTCCTTCCTTTTCTTCTGGTCCTGGGGCTTGAACCCAGAGGGCCCCACCACTGAGCCGCACCCAGCCCTGTTTGTTTTACTTGGAGACAGAGTCTCTCGGAATTGCCCAGGCTGGCCTCCACCTTGGGACCCTCCTACCTCAGCCTCCTGAGCAGCTGGGGTGACAGGCGTGGCCCCCACCTGGCTTGACACACCTCTTTCTTATAATGCTCCTGCCCTTCGTCCTCGTAACACATGACATGTTCACGTGTGAGCCCAGCCGTCTGGGGAACACGGTCTCCGTCTGCCTGTGCGTGGAGCTCTGAGCATGTGACATGAAGCCAAACCCCACCCCTGGATGGCAGAGGGGGAGTTGAGGCCGAGGGGGACCATCCCTCCAGGAGCTTGGAGCCAGAGCGAGCCACAGAGACAGGCGTCCGGAGCTCCACTGAGCCACATGACCCAGCTGTGTGGAGACCAGACGAGGCCTGGGGCAGCTCCGGCTGGAACCCGCCCCGTTCCTCCCCAGCACACCCAGCAGTCAGAGGRGCAAGAAGGAGCAGGAGCAGCCCCTCTAACCTAGTCCTCCCGCAGGAGATGAAGCCCTGGCGGGGTTGGGGGCTCCCCCTGCAGGCTCTCTGCACAGCCCTGCCCTAATTGTGAGGGCACCATGTGCGCCCTGTTGGCTAAGTGACATTCTAACCAGTTTGGGGATTCTGAAGTTCCAGAGAGTTCCCACTCCTGTTCGTTTCCCCTAGAACCTAGTGGTACTGTTTCTTCTGGGGACATTCTCTGCTGCAGGGGCTGGCCCTTGGCGTGGTCAAAGTGTAGGGGGTCAGAGGGCAYGTGAGGCGAGGGGCCATGCCGCTTGCCTCCTCTTGGGGCTGCAGGAACCAGCCAGGCTCCCACGAGGGCCGGGCCATCAGATATTTTGGGCGCAGCAGTCTGGGCACATGGACTGAGAACCTCGGCAGTGTGTCCCACGTGGAGCACTCCGCACATCAGTTTTCTAAAAAGCAAGTGGCCCAGCGCCATCTGGGCAGCAATTCCCAGTGGGGAGAAGGCCCGCCCAAGCTGAACCTGTAAGTCTGTGATTCTTCGACRGTGCTCTCTTAAGAAAGGGCTTATTTTAGGAAAGAAGAAACCTCAATGATGTATTTTGGTCCCAGCTTCTGAGTTTTCTAAAGGGACACTTGCTCCTCTCGGGCGCCAGAGGGTGGTAGGATGGGGACAGGGTCCTCTGTCACATCACCCACTGGGGTCCCACCAGCTATGCCCATGGCCTGCTGGGGAAGGGGCAGTGCCTGCTGGGATGCCAGCTCAGGCCGCCTCTTCCTCCTCACGGCAGACCTACCGGGATCATCTGGAAGGACAGAAGCACAGGAAGAAGGAGGCGGCCCAGAGGACGGGCCTGCAGCCCAACGGCAGCCCGTGCGGGGCGCAGGCCCAGCTGCACTGTGGCCTGTGTGCTGTGTCCTGCACTGGGGCTGAGGCCTACGCCGCCCACATCCGGGGAGCCAAGCACCAGAAGGTAGGGCCCACACACCACTAGCCCACGCCTGGCCCCTCGGCACCTGGGACACAGAGGGCCACCCGCCAAGGCCCTTCAGAGCGCAGAGCTGCGGTCCCTGTGTCCCGGGAGCCACACACCTTCTAACCACGAACAGGACCCCCACCACCCGCACAGACACATAGGGACCGGGGGGGCCTTTGCACCTGGGCCACGCAGGAAACAACCACACTCAGCACTTGGGGACTGCACAGTGTGCTGGCGGGGGTGACGTTCCCTCAGAGCTGTTTCCTGTCTTCACACCAAAGCCTTCCTGTGGCCTGAGAGACGCCTGCAGGGGCAGTTGGCGGCGCCCCCACCTGAGAGAAGGCAGGGAGCCCCCTGGGCTGCTCCCCAGGCTGCCGGGCCTTTCAAAGTCAGCAGCGCCCACCCCCCGCYCGGGGAACCGTGAATGTCTGCGGGATGCTCACTCCAGAGGGCGTGGAGGGCTCAGGAGCCCTGGGATGCCAACCACGTAGTCACCAAGCAGGACCAGGACGGCTGGGAGTGCCCTGTCCCACTGCCACCTGCCTCCTGCCCCTGGGCCTTTGCATAGGGCCAATCTTTCCAGCCCATGCTGAGAAGGCCTGGCCTAGGACTGTCTCGACCTCCCTTGCCCTCCCTCGCCCTCTCCCCAGCTCACTGAGGCCCGCATGGCCCCGCCCAGCCCAGGGCAGCCTCCCCAACACCTGTGGGAACTGCCCAGCCAGGTGCCGGTGGGTGTGGAAGGTCGACAGAAGGAGTGTCGTTGCCTGGGGCATGGCAGGAGATGAGACCAGGCAGGGCAGCCGTATCCCCGCCTGGGGTCAAGGAGGCTCTGCAGCCTGCTGGGTGGTGCCGTCCTGAGGGTGAACTAGCCGGCAGGTGGGTCTAAGGTGGTGCAGATGCTGGTGGCCACCCAGCAGGCCTTGCCAACTGGGACCTCAACAAATGCCTTGACGCACAAGTGCTGAGGGGACGTGGATGGAGCACGGTGCCTGCAGGTCTTAGGTGGAGAGTGGCTGTGTCCAGCACCGCGTGCGTGCATCCGGCTTGCCTGGTGGTCCCCAACCTCACATGCACACACCGAGCCGCCCTGTCTGGGCAGGGCCCTCGGAGTCGGGGAGACAGAGGTCCCAATGAGGGACAGCCAGAGGGGGCCAGAGGGAGCCAGGCAGGTGCTGAGAGCCGGAGGTGCCTGGAAAGCAGGAGGAAGGGTCTGGAAGCAGGGGCAGCTCAAGGAGGCCCTGGCAGGGAGCGGTGCTCTGGAGGCATTTTGGGGGAGCCCGGGAAGGGGTGGGGCCCCTGGATGCTCAGCCTGTCTCTCGGAGGTCATCCTGACAGAGGGACGGGTCCTTTCCAGGTCTTCAAGTTGCACACCAAACTGGGGAAGCCTATCCCCACCATTGAGCCGACGCCCAGGAGCCCTGCCCGCAGCAGCAGACCTGGCCCCCACACCTCGGACAGCGCCTCCGAGGCCTCCACCCGGCCTTCGGCCTCCGCCACGACCAGCCTCCACACTCCAGGCAGGCCAGCCCTGGCCAAGAGGACCGTGGCCTCCAGCGCCCCGCGGGAGGGTAGGTGGCCCTGCATCCCTGTCTGTGCACCGGGGCGACCTGGCCGCCTCCTCAGGTCCTGGAGCAGAGGCTGAGTGTCAGGGTGTGTGCCATGTGCGGGAGTGGGCGACGCCGTCCAGAATGCGGCCCGAGACCTTCCTGGGAGATTCTGCTGTCGCGTCTTCCTGTGGCCTCCAAAGCCCTGTCAGTGGCCTGGAGATTTCCTCCCACCCTGGTGCCCAGGGCACACTGGTCCTGAGGAGTCACGTGGGCGCTGACAAGCCACGCGCTGCCCTGACCCTGCCCACCGTGACTGGAGGTGGTGACAGCTCCTGCTCTGAGCCCTCCACTCTCCTCAGGCACCGTCCCTAGCTGCTCCCTTAGGGAGATTGTGTCACTTGTCCCAATGCTCAAATGGAAAAGCCAAGGTGAGGCGACTTAGGGTGGCTGGCCCGGCCACCCAGCCAGCAGTGGTGGCTCAGTTCCCCCTGCTCTGTCCAGCGGTCCCTGCTCAGGCCCCTGTGTCCTTCGCTGCTGGGGGTGGGTATCTGTGGCCTGGGCAGCATGGCTTCTTGAGTCACAACAGATTTTAAACTTCTCGTGGTGCGGAAGCCCGAGCCCTGGCAGGCTGCCTGAGCCGCACCTCGCCCTGCAATGTGGGTGGTGTTTTTATACCTTTATTTCATTCATTTACTTTTATGTGGTGCTGAGGATGGAACCCAGCGCCTCGCACGTGCTGCCAGGCAAGCGCTCTGCACTGAGCCCCAGCCCTGCCTGCAGTGTGCTTGAAGAGGGGGTCACTAGGAGCTTTCTTGTTGGTCTGTTCTGTGGTCCGGGGGTGGAACCCAGGGCCCCACACGGGCACAAGTGCTCTCCTCTGGGCACCTCCCCAGCCCTGCTCTCATTTTTTTWAAATATTTTTTTAGAGAGAGAGAGAGAATTTTTTTAATATTTATTTTCAGTTTTCGATGGACACCTTTATTTTATTTCTTATGTGGTGCTGAGGATCAACCCAGCGCCCCGCGCCTGCCAGGCGAGCGCGTGACCGCTTGAGCCACATCCCCAGCCCTGCTTTCATTTTGGGGGCTGGGCCTCTCTGGGCTTGTGGCCTGGCTTCCACCTCCCCTCCCCACTCAGCCTCCCGCACAACTCAGGCYGTGAGAAGTGGATGGCAGAGGCATTTCTCCCGAGGCCCGGATGTGCCTGGTTAGCGTGGCGGAGGAGCCTCTGGCCCTGCCTCCTCATGGCTGATTCACAGAGGTGGGGGTTTGGAGCAGCTGGCGGCCCCTGAGGGAGAGGTGGAGCCTGGGCGTCTTCCCCATGGATTYAGGCTGGACTCAGCCCTCCTCAGCTGTGACTTGAGCTGGTGTGACACAGAGACAGCTCCAACAGAGGAGTGTGTGTGAAGAGGAAAGGCTGGGCTCCTACTGAGCCCCGGAGCCTACAGAAGTTACTCACTGGCTTTGTGGTGCCGGGGATGGCCCGGGCTCCCACACACCGGGAAAGCGCTCACCCCTGAGCTGCACCCAGCCCTTTCTTAATTTGGGGACAGGGCCTTGCTAGGTTGCCCAGGCTGCCTGGACCTCRCCACCTCCTGCCTCAGCCCCCTGAGTAGTTGGGATCACGGGCGTGGCCACAACACCCAATGGAAAGGTCTCTTAAAAGAAAGGTCCAGGTGCCTTCGTGCCAGTGATGGGTGATCGCAGGCCCTGAGGGGGCGGTGGCTCCTGCCTCAGGGGTATGCGGTTTTCAAGAGTGGCAGGCGTTTCCTTGGGTGTGGCGCTGCTGGTTCTCCTGTGAGCAGCCAGCTGTGGTGATTCCTTTATCCATCAGTCTGCACAGAGCCCTCTCTCCACGTGCCCCCTGCTCCTTTGGGAGGGCTTGGCGAGGTGACTCCACGTTGAATCTGACCCTTTTGCCCAAGCACAGCCTGTGGTCCAGGCAGCACTGATCGCCATCACCGGCTGGAAAGGACAAGGAGAGGCTTGGGTCTGTGTGCACCTCACACTGCACGGCTGGTGGGTGTCCAGCCAGCTCTGGTTTCTGGCTGGAGTGACATGGTTGTCCCTCTTCAGGGCCTCCCAGGACACAGGCAACACGAAGCAGGCCCCCGGAGGGGAAACCAGCTCGGCACCAGTCTGAGGGGCCAGGAGAGCCGCCCTCCCGTGGAGGCCCATGGGAAGCTCCTGGGGGCTGCTCAGATGCGGAGCCCGTTGGCCCCGACTACGTGGAGGAGGTGGGTAGAGGCCACCGCGTGGCCGATCCCTAGTGCAGAAGGGCCAGACCCTGGATCCAGCTTTGCGACCTCGCTGGGCTCATCTCGAGAGATCTCGGTGAACCCGCCCCTTCCGTGGGTGCCACAGCAGACCTTGTGGGGCCAGCACTCTGCGCAGACCCCCGATGGCCCTGAGTGAGGGGCGGGGCATGCCGGCACCTTTGCRGGACTGTCCATCTGCTCCCTGAAGAGGGCGGGTGGAGAGAGCCCAGCCAGTGGCAGGAGGCCCAGGACGCTCCCGGGCGGGACGGCTGTGCCACTCACTCCCTGCCAGCTGGCTTCAGGCCACGCCAGCCTCCAGGGGGGAGGGGAGGCGGCTGGGTCCCTCAGCTCACCACTGCTCGGATTCTGAATTCTGGCCCAAGACGGGTCACTGGGAGCCACCATGCACCTGCGCGGCCCCCTCAATGCGCCCAGGGAGAAGCAGTCAGTCCCACAAGGCCCGTCCGCCTCCCAGAGCCTCGCCGGGGCTCGGGCCACGCACAGAACGCAGCTGTCACAGGGAGCTGCAGGCCTGTGTGCCTTCGTCCCCAGGCTCATGTTCTGGTCCAGTCCGTCCAGCATCTTACATTTTGCCCCAGGCAGAACGACCACAGCAGCCAGAACCATGCCACCCTGTCAAGAAGCTGCCTCACATACGGCCGCGGGGACCAGGGAGGGCCAGGGTGGGCAGCGATCGAGCAGGGCAGAGCCGGGCTCCTCAGTGAGGTGATGCCAGGGGTGGAGCCTGGGGCAGTGCCAGGAGGAGGAAGGGCCAGGCGGGAGGCCAGCCGGGCTTTGGATGACACCCTGAGCAGGCACAGAACTGACCAGTCACCTGCATGTTGGTGACGTCCCTCGTCCTCTGGGCTTTGCTGGAACGGGCAGCTGTGCTTCGTGTCCCAGGTGTGCAACGACGAGGGGAAAGTGATCCGGTTCCACTGCAAGCTGTGTGAGTGCAGCTTCAACGACCCCAACGCCAGGGACATGCACGTGAAGGGGCGGCGGCACCGGCTGCAGTACAGGGTGCGTCCAGCGGGGGCATCGGTGCCCACCCAGGGGCTCAGCCACCTCCTGGCTATCCGGCCTGCCAGTGCCCGGTCTGGTTACCTTGGGGTCCCGGGGTGGGCAAGGGCATGGGTTTCCATTTTCTGTATCCAGGTCCACATCAGGAAGCACACCTTTGGCCTCCATGAAACGGCCTTAGTGCCTCCAGTCCCTTGAGCCTCTGGACTCTGTGAGGCCTGGACAGCCACCTCTTGGACCCTTCTCCACCACGATCCACCACACCCTCCTCCCGCTGGGAGCCCCTGCCCCATGCTCTCTGCCCACCTGCCTTCCCATACACCACTCTCAGGGCCGCCCCCCCCTGGCCAGCAGCCTCAGTGTCAGGGCTGGCTCTCGGCACCCCTCAGCCCTCTTGGCCATGGATGCTCCCTTCAGGCTCCTGCATGTCCTTAGAAACAGGGCCATGTCCCTCTTACCTCAGTCACAGTCTGTTCTAGATCAGCACTTGCCCTACTGCCTGCACAGAGTGCTCAGGGATGGAGCCAAGGATGGGTGCAGGAGTGGCAGGTGGATGGGTGGGTGGATGGATGGATAGATGGGTGGGGTGGATGGATGGATGGATGGATGGATAGATGGGTGGGGTGGATGGATGGATAGATGGGTAGATGGGTGGATGGATGGATAGATGGGTAGATGGGTGGATGGATGGATAGATGGGTAGATGGTTGGATGGATGGATAGATGGGTAGGAGGGTGGGTGAATGGACAGATGTGTAGATGGGTGGATGGGTGGACAGATGGATGGATGGGTGGATGGATAGAGGAATGGGTAGGTGAATGGATGGATGGATGGATGTGTAGATAGATGGATGGGTGGATAGGTGCATGGATGGGTGGATAGGTGCATGGATGGGTGGGTGGGTGGAAGAATGGATGGATGGGTGGATGGATGTGTAGATGGATGAATGGGTGGATGCGTGGATGGGTAGAGGGATGGGTAGATGGATGGATAGGTGGATGGATATATGGGTAGAAGGATGGATGTGTAGATGGTTAGATAGGTGGATGGATGGACAGATGGATAGAGGGAGGGAGGGAGGGAAGAATAGGTAGATGGATAAATGGATGTTTAGATGGATGGATGGGTGGATGGGTGGACAGATGGATGGAGGGAGGGWAGGAGGGATAGGTAGATACTAAATGGATGTGTAGATGGATGGATGAGTGTATGGACAGATGGGTGCATGGATGGATAGATGGGTGGGTGGAGGGTGGAACAGTGGATAGATTCGGGACACCAACGACGGTTTTGTATTCTTTTGGTCATGCATATTTGCAGGCAGGTTTCTAAAACAAGGAGGGTGAGCCCACAGGAAAGCCATGGGATGGGTCTGGCCGTTGTCTCCCTCTTGCTGGGTGGCCCCGACTGCACGCGCGTTCTGAGCTAGCTGGACTGCTAGCGGCTCTTCTGTGGCCACCTGGTTACTCTCCAGTGCAGTGAGGCTTCCACCTGCAGCAGACAGAGTACTGAGCGAGCACAGGTGGCCCTCAGATGTCCTTGCTAGGATGTCACAGCTGTCTTGCGCTGCGTGAGCAGCTCTGGAGGCCTTGCTCGGGAAGCACCCTGTCCTTCAGTGAGCGGGACACACCCTCCCAGCCCTCCCCATCAGGAGCACCAGAGTCACCTCTCATCCTTGGTGGCAGACGGTTGCTCACCCTTGAGCTCCCTCAGTGCCCCCCCCCCCACTGCCTTCAGGACGTGAGCTGCCCTGTGGGCGTGGAGGGTGGCTTCCCGGGGCCCTCCTGTGTCCTCAAGGCCGCTGTGGCCCCTCCCTGGAGCGCCTGCTCTCACAGCCTGCCTTGCCTTCCCAGAAGAAAGTGGACCCCAACCTCCCCATGGCCGCCAGGCCCAGCAGCAGGGTGCGGAAGCTGCTGGAAGAGCAGATGAGGAAGGAGCGGCAGCGGGCCCAGCGGCGGCTGGAGGAGATGCGGAACTGGTGCTCGGAGCTGAGGTGCCCCCCACCCCCAGCTGCAGGCGCTTCCACAGGGCCCTGTACCGTGCCACCATGGGCCTCCAGGGCCAGACCCCACCCTCACACTGGGCAGCCTCCGTTCTGGCTGGTGGGGGCCTCTGGGGGGGGTCCAGTCACTGCTCCATTCCATGCATCCCCTGACCTCTGTTGTCCCCTGTGTCCCCAACTGTGGGCACACTTTCTCATCTCCTTTCCCCACCCTTCAGAGCAGTCCCAAAGCCAGGCCTGGCCCTCTGTAGTACCCGGCCGTGGGCTCTCTGGAAGCAGCAGGCCTACGTGGGGAGGGCRCGGAGACGCCACCAAGGGCACCGAGGCCGCGTGGAGCCCCCCACCCCCGCGCAGGGCCTCGGTCCCACCGTGCATATGGCAGGGCTGTGCAGGGCTATGCCCTCAGTTCCCGGGAGCCGAGGGAGAGCCCTCAGTGTGGGTGTGAAGGCGAGGGGGCCTGGCTGTGCCCACACGTGGGCATGGGGCACAAGCATGTCTGCTGCAAGAGGTCGGCTCCCTGGGCCTCCGTCCCCTCCAGCCCTCTGTCCCCTCCAGCCCTCTGTCCCGTCTGGCCCACAGGCACCATGAGACGCGCTGCAGGCAGCCAGAGGAGGAGCCGCGGCCCCAGGACAAGGAGCAGCAACCCACCTCGAGCGACTGGGCCCCCTCGCCGGTGCTGGGCAGGCTGGGTGTGCCAGCAGTCCCGCTCCCGGTGGGTGCCGAGGGCCAGTGTGAGGGGCAGCGTGGCCTCCTCTATCAGAGTCCTCTGTGGGCACCAGGGCTTCTGAGAGCCTCATCCCGCCCTGCCCCCTGCCCGGCCCTGGGATTCCGTCAGCTCCCTGGAGCCCAGGGTGGGGGAACCTCATTTTGTGCCCCTTCCTGCTGCCATGGACATGTGCCCTCCTGGGCCAAGCACCGGGTTGATGGGAATCTGAGACTTGCCCCTCACCAAGGGCAAGGCCCTGGTCGACTCTCGAGCCTCTGGCCGGGGATGGGGGATGCGGCCCACGCTTCCTGCAGCCACGGGAGGCCTGAGCTCCTCCTGGTGCTGCCCATGGCTCCTGCAGTCCGCCCCCGGCCCCCTGGGTACTGGACGCCCACCTGGCCGTGCCCCACCTCTGAGCCTGGCTGGCCACCGTCACCCCCACCTGTGCCCAGCTCCCTGACGCCAGCCTGCTCCAGGCTCCTCCTGAGTCCTCCTGGGGCTTTCAGTGCTGTCACAATGCAGCAGGCTGCCTTGTCCCCTGCCCACTTGGTCCCACCGACAACTCAGCCCAGCCCTGACAAGGTGGCCTCTCCCCACAGCCCAGGCGGCGGCCAGAGTCCAGCGATGACCGGCACGTCATGTGCAGGCACGCCACCATCTACCCCACCGAAGCGGAGCTGCTGGCCATCCAGAAGGCCGTGTCGCACGCAGAGCGGGCTCTCAAGCTGGTGTCCGACGTGCTGGCTGAGGAGGACTGGGGAAGCCTGGAGGAGGAAGGCGGCCAGCGCAGGTAACGGAGAGGCCTGGCCCTCAGGATGGGTGTCTGCAAGGACCACAGGGGCCAGGCCCAGGCCCTCCGAGGCCCATGGAGGCTCTGCAGCCCCCTGCAGAGCAGAGGGTCCCTGTCTCCGAGTCTAAGCCCCAGCTACAGGGAGGCGCTCCTGTCTGGGAGCATCCTCTGAGGGCCACGCGCCTCAGCACGCAGCCCACAGAGCCCCACTGCGCTGTGCTGAGCCCGAGGCCACAGCTGGGTGACACTCAGTAAATAAAGTGCCAAGGTGCCGCTCACAGGGACGACCTTCTCTTCTTGGTGAACCTCGGCTTCCTCACGAGGGGTTAGGGGACCGGAGGCCAGGCCCCCCGCAGCGGGCTGGGGTGGACACGGCTGACAGATGGATGCGCACAGGGCTTTTCAAGGCCTTCCTGGGGGGTCACGTCCCTCCTGTCCTCTCTTGGGGGTCTTCCTGCGGTGGGGAATGCACAGGACGCAGAGCTGCGCGCTGAACCACATCCAGGTGCACAGCTCCCCCGCATGGAGCAGTCCAGGGCCRTGCGCCACTCCTGCCGTCACCCAGAGCTCTCCCAGCTAGTGTCCCCACAAGCACTGAGCCCCGTTTGTTTAAGGCCCCCACGAGTGCCCTTCCTGCCTGTGGGCTGGCCTGCCCTGGACCTTTCACGCAAGTGACCCTCTGACCTGCTGAGCGTGGGCAGCTTCTCTGGCAGCACTCAGTCTGCATGGAAGGCGTGGCCCTGGTCAGAGTGTCCCTGCCCAGGGACAGCTGTGTCTCCCACTACTCCAGCCTGGCGGGCGCCCCTGGYGGGGGCGGGCTCCCACTTTACAGAGTAGGAGACCGAGGCGTGGGGAGGCTGCTCCCAGGGCTGGCGCTGGGCATCCAGTGGGTCGCTGGCCCCTCCTCTGACGGCGCCCCACGGCTCTGTCTTGACAGCAGCGCTGTGCCCTCGCCTCGGGTCCTGAAAGGTGTCATGCGGGTGGGCATCCTGGCCAAAGGCCTTGTCCTGCGGGGAGACAGGAACGTGCAGCTGACCCTGCTCTGCTCCGAGAAGCCCACTCACGCCCTGCTGCGGAGGGTCACCGAGCAGCTGCCCCAGCAGCTCCTGGTAAGCGGGGCACCCCGCAGCTCCCTGCCTGCTCCCCAGGGCCCGCGGACCCAGCAGGCTCATGCCCTCCAGGACTTCAGGAAAGTGGAGGCGTTGCTGCCCGAGGCCTGCCGGCTTCTTTCCACAAGCTGTTGGAAAGGGGGCGCTGGCAGCTCCGGTCCCCTGGTGGGAGGAGTTCAGGCTAAAACACAGAAGCTGTCCAAATGTCCCACCCTGGGGATGGCACCTGTGTCACGTCTGCCCGGCGTCAGGAGGCTGCGTGGCAATGTCTCCRAGTCAGGCCCGAGGCTGAGGCCGGGCGGGTGTTTGGCTTCCTCTGGGGAGCCCCACTCGCCCTTCTCACCCGGGGATAGTGGGGAAGGCCACGGCCACCCCRAGGGATGTCTAAGGTCAAAACCCACCCCGCCCTGATGGCCGGGTCCTCCTGAGTCCCTTCCCAGTGTCCAGCACTAGATGGGGCCTCAGGCCTCAAAGGTGAATGGGAAACCAGACGTGGGCAGGTCAGCTCCAGCTGTCCTCTGGGAAGGAACTAAGCTGGGGCCAGGTGGACGGGCCAGGGGGCGTCTTCAGACAGGATGGGGCGCGAGCCCTGACCGAGGACCTGTGCCCTYGGGTACAGAATTCTGCACAACAGGGCCAGCCCTGCAGAGGCCGAGGGTGGACAGGAGAGAGCAGGAGGGACAGGGCCTGGGCTGAGCCAGGCCTGCAGGGGTGCGAGGAGRTGAGGTGGGGAGCCGAGGGCCCAGACCTGAGCCCCTGGGAGCTGCCGGGCGGCAGGGGCTCGGCACAGCCGGCTCTCCAGAAGCCCAGCTCCTGGCGAAGACAAGGCCCTGGGGAAGCTGGCAGAGCCCCACCCCACTGGGGGAGAGCCCGAGTGGGCAGGAGATCAGGGTTGGCAAGAAAGGTGCGTTTGGGGGCAACTCGGGGTGGACACAGGCGCCCRGAGGGGCGCAGATGCACAGGGAGCCTGTGGAGAGCGTCCTTCTCCGGGGACAAGGGCATCTCGTGGTGTCTGCTTCTCTCTGACCACAGAGGTGGCTGCGTCCTGTGTCGTCTAGCTGACCAGCTCTTGCCTCACCATCTGCTCTCGAGTGCCCTGGGGCTCTCCACTGGGAGGCCCCGCTCAGGCCCAGGTGCGCCTGCCCAGTGTGGCCTCAGCTGCATGACGCAGCCCGCATTGTGTTCCCACCCAGATACTGACGGACGACAAGTACGAGGTCTCCTCTGACCCCGAAGCCAACATCATCATCTCCTCCTGCGAGGAGCCCAGGATGCAGGTCACCGTGACCCTCACTTCTCCCCTGATGCGAGAGGACCCCTCTGGGGGCCGAGGTGCGGCCGGGCCCCTCTGTCCAGGTCCCTAGCCCCTGCCCACACTTCCTTGGGGTCCCACAGTAGCCCTCCAGCACTTTTGTCATCCCAGATGCTGCTACTCACCCAAGAGCTGGGCTTGGGACAGCAGAGGACCCRAGTTGGTGACTACGTCCTGCTGCTCAGCTCCCAGGTGGCAGCGCCGTTCTCTGGGACCCGTCCCACATAGGCAGGGCCACGTCACCACCTCTCCCTGCCCCTGCCCAGGTGAAGGGTGGAGGCCCTGTTGCCAGGGCCACCACAGACCCCCAGTCCCAGGGCCACTTGTCTGGCTCCYTGAAGTCAGATTCGCCCCACCTGGAAGAGTAGGGGAGAGGACTGGGCAAGGTCAGGGGAAGGGAGGGCCTTGGTCACTGGCCTCAGTCACTGGCCACGGGGGAGGTAAGTGACAGGCGTGCCCGCAAACCTGTGCTGGCTGGGGCCTGTGACAGAACCCTCTAGAACAGTCTGGAGCAGTTCCCCAGGCCCAGGCCTCCTGAGCCCTTCCTGGTTGTCCTGGCCGTGGCTGAGGCCATGAACCACAGTTCAAATGGGTCCTCTTTACAACCCGAAGGCCCACAGCCGCCTCTGGACCCTGGGGGAGAGCCGYGGGCAGGGTGGGTGCAGGGCCACCCCAACTGGAGGCCAGGACCTAACAGTTGGAGGACCTTCGTGAGCACTCGAGACTAGGCCTCCCTCGAGGCCCCTACCTGGCCAGACTGGACCCTTGGAGACCCGGATCCTCTGACAGGTGGCCCCGGGCAATCTCAACAGGACATGTCACCTCCTGCAGGCCACTGCCTTCCTCAGTGGGGGGAGGCCAGCCCCGAGACCCCTTCTCTTCCCCCCGAGTCCCATCGGGGCCCCCTGGAGTCACTGCCGTGATGGGCAGACGGGTCCATGGCAGTCACGGAGGGCAAGGCTGTACCTGTCCTGAGGTGCGAGCCGGCCAGGGCTGCCCTTTCCCTAGCCTGGGGTTAGGGTCAGTGACCAGACCTGTTGCCATCCCACCCCATCCTCCTTTCTGTGGTGCATTTGGAAGCTTCCGGAAACAGGCCCAGTCTGTAGCCTCCCATCTGCACCTTACCTGGCTAGTGGAGAGGACCTAGCAGCCACCCTGAACCCCAGCCCCCTGCAGCACCCCTCCTGGACAGACGGGGTTTGCAACAGTGGTTTCTGGGGTCGCTGCCCTATCCCTGCGGGACTATCCAAGAGGAGCCAAGTATTTCCCAAGAATGGACYGTCCAGGTCCACGCAGCCCTCCGAGGCGGGAGCAGAGAGGACGGGCACCTTCCCACTCACCTCCCTCGGGGACTCTCTCCCATTCCTTCCAGAAGGAGCAGAGAAGCCTCAGCCCGACCCAGGAGATGTCCTGAGCCCCGAGAGGTGCCTGGAGTCCCTGGCCGCCCTCCGTCACGCCAAGTGGTTCCAGGTCAGGGGCCTGGGGCCGGACGGACTGGGCCAGGTCACCCACCCAGCCAGCAGCCTCAGCGGAGGCTCAGCACTTCCATGAGGGGCTGCTCCGCTCTGGAGCCCCTTCCCTCCTAAAGACAGGCTGGTGGGCAGGACTGGGAACGGGGAGGGAGCRACGGCGCCCCGGGTCTGGACGCTCTGCCTCTGCGGCCTGTGTGCACTGGGGGCCGGCTAGCCCTGCCCCGCCGCCCTCCAGGCTGCCTGGGTGCCGTTCCTGCCTGTCCCTCCAGCCCACGCCCTCCAGTCAGGGCCACTGCCCCTCCAGTCAGCCGTCCCCCACCCTGTGGCAGCACATCCGGTCCCCAAGAGCTGACCGTGGCTTCCTCCCCAGGCGCGAGCCAGCAGCCTGCAGCCGTGTGTGATTGTCATCAGGGTCCTACAGGACCTCCGTCGGCGTGTGCCCAGCTGGGGGGCCCTGCCAGCCTGGGTAAGGCCATCGGTCCCCCCAAACACCCCCGAGGGCTCTGTAGCCCTGACAGCCCGGCCTCCCTTCTCCCAGATGAAAGTGTCCCTTCCCGGGGCACCTGGCCAAGGGCGGCCGGAGCTGAGGCAGTCTGAGGGTGGCAGGGCTGGGCCACGGCCGCTTGTGACTCATCACCCTGCACCCACACTGCAGGCGAGGCCAGGGCACATGCAAACGTGGGCGCACCAGGGAAATGGGTGGCGGGGGCCTGGACCCTCCCGGCATCAGGGCAGGGAGAGGGGCCTTGTCCTGGCCTTGTGGTGCTGAGCCACCTGCTCCAAGGGGGGCCTGCAGCTCTGGCTCGACCCTGGGTCCGTCCCATGTAGGGAGAGAAGAGCCTCTGGGTCCCCAGCGAGACCCTCAGGTCCCCAGCGACTCCCAGGCCTCAGTGGCCAGGAGCTGCCGCCCAGCACAGGCTCCTCCGGCTGCAGGTGCCTGTCTCTGTGGCTCCACTGCACCCTCCCCTCCCTGGTCCCCCTGCCCCGCCCCATCAGTGTCTAGAAGTGGCACGAGTGTCATTTCTAAGCCCTTCACTGCYAATGTGGTGCTGCGGGAGGTGGCGGGCATATCTCTGTCCCACCCCAGCTCTGAGGGGGGCATGCGCCCCTCTCCTGGCCTGAGCCAGTACCGAGGAAGCCCTKGTCCGTCCCGTCCCCTCGGCACAATCCAGAAGCAGGGCCAGTGTCTGCCAGTGTCCAGAGGAACCGTCCACTCCAACCCCTGGGAGTCACAGGCCATGTCACGCTCGTGACTAGCCCCTGGCCTGCTCCCGACTGGAGAACTCCCTGCGTGTGTCCCCACCCTGTGAATGGAGAAGCCCCACGATGTCCTAGACCACCTCGCACACGTCCCCACCCTGCCCTCAGAGGCTGGGGTGGTGGCTGCCCCTAGCCCTGGGGGTGGACCCCAACTGAGGCTCAGTAGTGCTGAGCGGGCCTTGTCCCTCAGCGTGTCTGTGACATTGCTGTGGCCCAGACGCTGCAGGTGGGAAACTGAGGCCGAGAGGCGGAGCCATGCAGCCGTGGCAGTAGGTGGCAGAGGCCTGGCGGCTTCCCAGGGGTGGGCAGGAGGGAAGACGGGCGAGGTCCTCGGGTCCCAGGGCCCGGAGTCTCCCAGCCCACGCGCTAGTGCTTTGGTGGAAGAGGGCTGTCTGGGTCCCCAGGGCACGTGCGTCCCTCCCGCCCCCAGGCCCTGGAGCTGCTGGTGGAAAAGGCTCTGAGCAGTGCATCCAGGTCCCTGGGCCCTGGGGACGCCGTGCGGCGGGTCCTGGAGTGTGTGGCAGCTGGTGCGCTCCTAACAGGTCAGTCGCTGGACAGAGGCTGGAGTGGGCAGCAGCAGAGCCCAAGACCATGGCTGGGTGCCCAGGGCCGTGCGCACACCTAGGGCCAGGGTCGCCCCAGACAGGAGAGGGACAGGCCAGAGCAGGGGCAGCTGGCCCAGGGCCAGGGCTGGAAGCCGCGGGGTCTGTCTGCGGAGCTTTCCGGGTGCCAGCCGCCTGCCCTATGCAAATTTATTTGAATAGATACTTTATTCAAAGCTGAGACCAGATAGTGGGCTGGGTGTGAGCTCACCGACAGCCCTGCAGCCAGGAGGAAGGCGCCGGGGCAGGGGCCGGGAGGRCACAGCGCTCAGGGACACAGGACACCGCTGAGTGGGCGGGCGCGGTGGGAGGGAGCTGTTTGTCCACAGGGTTGTACACACTCAGGGCCCAGCCTGCCTGGGGGCCTGGAGGACCCTGCCCCCCACGCAAGGCCCTGCTGCAGGCCCTCGGGCTGCTCAGCGTGGCCGAGGTCCRCCGTGTGTCCCCACAGTCCCTCACCAGGTGTCCTGGCACTCTGCTGCCCCTCCTCCCCCACACAGATGGGCCTGGGCTCCAGGATCCCTGTGAGAAAGAGCAGAGGGACGTCCTTGGGTCCATGAGCCTCCAGGAGCGGGAGGACGTGACAGCCAGTGCCCAGGTAGGAGGGCCAGGGCCACCAGGGCCCTGCACAGCACCCCCAGCGAGCCCGGGGCTCCTGTCCCTCCCCCTGCGAGATGCTGGGCAGAGGAGGTGGTCCGGGTGGCAGGACTGCCCTGAGCACCCCTCGACACGGCCCATGAACACCCAGCGCCCYGGCCTGGCCTTCCCAGCTGGCCCCTCGCCGGCAGACCAGGCTGTGGGAAAAGCCTGGTGCCGCRAAACTCCAGTCGGGCAGGAGGGGACGCTGGCACAGGGCAGGGCCCCYGGCAAGCTGCTCCTCTGCGCTGGCCGCTCAGTGGGCGGGAAGGGGGCGCAAGTCAGGAGCAGCGTCCTGACGCCCCGGTCGCCCGCAGCACGCCCTGCGCATGCTGGCCTTCCGGCAGATCCACAAGGTCCTCGGGATGGACCGGCTGCCGCCCAGGAGCAGGCCTGGGGCCCGCTTCCGGAAGAGGCCCCGGGAGGCGGGCCTGGCCGAGGAGGGCCCGGGTGAGAGGAAGCGGGGCCGCCAGGGGGGCACGGGGCTGGCCTGAGCCTCTGCTCACCTGGACAGGCCTCGCGGCGGACAGGGCCTCCTCCTCTGCAGTGAGGTCTGTGCCTCCGCCGCGCTGGGTCTCACTGTCCTGGGAACTTAGCTGCCCGAGGCCCTGGGAGCAGCCCGCTGCCCACCAGCGGCCGGCTCAGTGAGCCAGAGGGGCGTCCCGTGGCTTCACCCGCTTTCTGCACAAGAGTGTGGGCTGCACGTGGGGGGCGGGGCGGGAGCAGGTGTGCAGGGGCCCCAGGACCTCAGCCCCACCCCACCCTGCTGGGCAGCCTGGGGCCGGCAGGGCCACAGACAGGCAGGTGCTGCCAAAGCACACGAGGCCACAGCCCCAGGAAGACCTGTGCCCCTCAGCCACTCCCACCCAGCACCGCCCTTCCCGAGTGCCTTCTGCAGGGGCCGCTCTGTCAAGGGCTCTGTCACCCCCGCAAGGCCTGGATTCCTCCTTGGGTTCCCCCTGATTTTGTCCCACCAGGGCCTGAGGCAGGTGGTCCCCAGTGCTCCCTCAGGGCTCCAGCCCAGAAAACGCGGGGCCAGTGTGGCTGTCCCATGGCCCTGGGGACACCGCCTGCCCGGTCCTCACCCTGCCCCGTTCAGACCCCTCCCTCTTCTTTCCCAATGGCGTKGAGGATGACAAGTCCCTCTGTGCAGACATGGCCTGTGGTCATGCGACTGCTCTGACTCCGTCTCTGTGCGTTTGAGGGACGGCCCGTGTGTGGCCCGTGTCTGGGCCTCGGGAGCCACTGGAGGCTGGTGGGGAATAAAGGCGCCTCTCGTCCGCGTGTGGCGTGCTCTCCTTTCGCTCAAGCGCCCCCACCAACACTGGGCCTCCGCCTGCCTTGCAGGGCCCTGGGACTGGGCCCCCCACCTCTCTCCCTGAGCTCTGCCCATGCAGGGGCCCCTTTGGACACCAGGAAACACTGGCTATGTGTGTCCCTCAGCCCAGGACTGCCTCAGGCCTCCCGAGCTCTTGGCCTGGTCCCTGCTGCAGGCCGAGGGCTGGGAGGYCCCAGAGCTTCCCGGCAGGGGTGGGCACGCGAGCTTGGCAAGAGGCTGTGCCCACACAGAACTTCCCCACGGCTTCCCCAGATCTTCGTCACTAACCTCAGAGGGTGGCCAGGGTTCACATGAGGAGACCTGGTCACAGTGGCAGGGAGCTGGGGAGGAAGGCGTGGGCAAGGCGGCAGTGGCCCTGTGGGTGGGCAGTGGCGTRTGCACCACACACAGACAGTGGTGGGCACAGAGGAGTGGGCAGGAGATCAGCCGGACCCCCTCTGGGCCCCGCCGGGGAGAGGCTCCCACCTGGAGCTGGAGGCCCTGGAGAAGCAGAGCAGAGGACACAGGCCACACGGAATCTGTCAGGCACTGGAAAGGGCTCAGACCTCCTGGAAGGCAGGCCAGGCCACTCTGCTCTGCCCAGGGTCCTCCCCTCACGGAACCCCTGCTGCAGGCCCAAATGGCCGGGTCCTGGGGCGGACCTCCTTCAGCCCCCACCYTGGCCCTGTCCCCTCTGCTCGGCGCCTCCTGCACAGGGTTCCGCTCCCTCCCACCTCGGGGTCCACAGGCCCTTCACCCAGCTTCCCAGGCTGACCTCCCCACCTCCTGGGGCCTGGCCCTCATGGCCAATGTGCCAGCAAAGCCTGTCACACCAATTCTCTCTCCAGCCTCTGCAACGGTCACTGCTTTAGCCCTGGGGGGCCCAGGGTGCTCAGGATAGAACTGCAGATCCAAATAAAGACCCCCCCCCACCTGCCAACTGCGCCCTGTCAGTCTGCTGCAGAYCCACCACTCAGACTATCCTTAGGAGCCAAACAGACCTGCCCCAGGGCCTTGGCACATACTGGTACCCCTGCCTAATGAGCTYTCCCCTGGCTCCTGCTCCTCCCCTTCCCCAGGCCTCTGCTCCAGTGTCACCTCCTCAGAGAAGCCTCCCTGACCTCCTGGACCTGCCACTAACCCTGTTCATTGTCATTACACTAGATGTGACTGCAAGCAGGAGGTCTGGGTGGGACCTCATGGTCCCAGGTCCACACGGGGGAGCTGAATAAATAACTCTTCAAGCCAACACCACGTCTCTGGGATGGGGATGGTGGCCAGTGGCCACGGGCAAGCCAAGGGCCKGCCGGCCTCCGGGAGCCGCTCCTCCACCCCCGCGGACAGCCCTCCGCCCAAGCGCCCACATGGGGCGCCTCCCGAGCCAGGAGACGTCGCTGGTCGCCATGGCTGGGACAGCAGCCTCCCCACCGAGACCCCCGAGGGGTCACCCAAAAGCCCTCAGCAGCACGTGGAGAGTTAACGGCCCCTCTAGCGACTCCCGGCGCGGACTCAGGCGGCGACAGCGAACCCAGCGGGGGCTAGCGCGGCGGGGTCCCGACGGAGGCGCCCGGGGCCTGGAGGCTGGCGCTGCGACCGCCCTTCCCGCCCCTGCCCTCGTCCCCCGGGCGGGGACCCCACGGCGGGCTGCGGGGCGCACAGAGGCCGCGGGGCGAGGAGCATCCGGGAGGGCGGGGGACGGCCGCGGTGCGGCGGCGGGAGGGTTGCTAGGAGACGCGGCGAGTGGGCGGGGACGCGCKAGTGGGCGGGGCCGGGAGAGAGGCGCGTCCGTGGGCTCGAGCGCAAGGTCACGCGGACGCGGAGAGGGAGCCGCGAAGACGCACCGCGGCCGGCCCGGCAAGTCCACGCGGGCAGGGGCAAGGACGCAGGGTGCCCTGGGGAGAGAGCAGCCTGGGACCAGCTCCGGCTGACCCACGGGTGGCCCACGTTGTGGAAGCGCAGTGTTGAGAGACTTGCACTCGCAGCTGCGCGATTTCCAACAGCAGGAAGGAGGAAGCAGCCCCAGGGGCCATGCAGGGATGGACAGATGGACAGGGTGCGTGGTCCTGCCACRCACTGGAGTACGACACAGCCTTGAAGAGGGAGGAGGTTCTGACACACCCGCAGCTGGATGGACCCTCAGGCCGCTCTGCCCAGTGGAATGAGCCAGCACCGAAGGACACACTGAGGATCCACCCACAGGACGTCCCCCTCTGGCCAGATGCCTAGGGACAGGAAGTGGCAGGGTGGGAGCCAGTCCCTGGGGAGGGGATGGAGCTAGKTTAGTGGGGACAGAGTTTYAGTTTGGGAAGGTGAGGAAGCTCTGGAGATGGCCGTCAGGGACGGCGGCACAGCCCTGTGACTGTGCTTATCGTCAYTGAGCTATGACTTGGGCGCCGTGAAGACGGCCCATTTTCTATTTTATCACAAGTAAATTTTCCTGAGGAATTGGGGTTTGCCTGTTAAAAACTCTGAAAAATCTGAAAATGGAAGAAAGGAAACACATGGGTCAACCCTGTGAAGCTCCCCTTCCCAGCAGCTGTCCTCTCTGGGTGCACGTGGGTGACGCGTGGCCCGTCCTCTTCACTCCTCGGCTGGCCTCCTGCCCATTGCCAGCTCTCTGCATCGACTCTCCGGACGTGGTTCTCCTGGAGATCCTGCACCTTCTTTGAAAATCACCAATTCAGCCCCTTGAAAATGCGCCACGTGGTGGCATTTCAGGCACTCAGTGTGGCGCAGCCGTCACCACTGTCTAGTTCCAGAACCTTCCACCAACCAAGGGGAGGCCTCATCCCATGAGCACTCACTTTSCCCCCCCACCCATGACCCACTTCCTGTCCCTGGTCACATGCTGTGGCCTGTGTGTCCGGCTCTCCCTGAGCACCAGGTCCCCAGGTCCCTCCACACTGCAGCTGTCACCTGGCTCCTGGTCAGGTGTGTGTGGACCACACTGTGTCCACTGGCCCCCTGGTGGACACTGGGCTGGTCCCATCTTTTGGCTGTGGGATGTGACCAGGGCTGGGCACAGCACGGATGAAGGTGCCYGGAGAGCCCAGCCCTCCCCTCCTGGGGACAGCCACATCATTTCCAAGGCATTGGTCACGGTGGATCGGACTCTGCTAGGATGTCTGGAGGGACGGGCCGGGCCGGACACGCGGAGGCCCTCACGGCTTATGAAGGGCCTTCCCGGCTGGCTCCTCCCTGGCCGGGCCCCCTCCTGGCCGGCCTGTGCTGGCCCTCCCTRTTGAGTGGCCCAGGCTGGCCCCAAACTCCCGGCTGCAGCGATCCTCCTGCCTCAGCCTCCAGAGCAGCAGGGACGGCAGGCGCTGCCTCCCAGTTGGAGTCTCCCCATTTAAAGATCCTTTTCCACACCTGCACACCAGTGTCCCTCTGAGCCACTGTTCCTGCCCGAGTCCCTTCACACACGTCCCCAGCACCTACGCCTGTCCTGGGCCGGCGTGTGCCGACCACCCTTCCTTCGGCCATCGCCAAGACTGCCCTCCTTGGGGAATGTCAAGGGAGCAGAAATCACCTCTGCACCAGGGAGGCGGGCCGGCCTCAGGGGCAGCTGGCCCTGAGCACATGGTGGCAGGTGTGGACAGCTGCCCCTCCCCTGGCCTATGAAGCTGGAGACGGCTGGCAGCCTGGCCCTGCAGGCTGGTGAGAACCCGTCAGCGGGACAGAAAAGGTCAGGCCAGGGACCCAGCAGGCGGAGGGCAGGGAGGGGGCCAGAGCTGGTACCAGCACGGGCGCCATCCCCGCGGCTCGGAGGCTGAGGCAGGAGGATGGCAAGGGCGAGGCCAGTCTCAGCTACTTGTCAAGGCCGCCAGCAGTTTAGTGAGACCTGGTCTCTAAACCAAATATGGAAAAGGGCTGAGGATGTGGCTCAGAGGTGAAGCACCCCTGGGCTCAACCCCCAAGACCAAAATAATAATAATTATAAAAAGCAAAAGAGGGGCTGCGGCGGGCTCAGCGGAGAGCGCTGACCTCATGTGCGAGGCCCTGGGGCCCGTCCTCAGCCTCACATACCAAGGTGCAGTCAAGGTGGGCGTCCACCCACAACCAGGACACAGATGTTGAGGCAAAGAAATGCAGAGGGGTGACGGAAAAGCCCGAAAGAAGTCTTGGAACTTTGAAAAATCTGGTGACCCAAGTGTCACTAGAAGGCTTGGGTGAAAGAGGAATTGTCACCAGAAGTAAAAAGGAAGACAAAGAGGAAGAGGAGCCCGGAGGCAGGCAGGCAGCKCTGCGGGAGGAGGGCAGGACGCCGGTGAGGAGGCTGCCCCCGAAGCTGGAGGGGGACGCCCTGCCCGTCCCCTTGGCTGGGACCTGCTCTCTGAACACTGTCACCTTTGGGAAAACCTGGACCCGGAAGGTCGCACGTTCCCCAAACAAAGGTGCCGACCCAGAAGCCTGGAGGCTGGGCCCAGGGAATGGCGGTCACAGCCCAGCGGTCAGCTCCCGGGCGCTCAGAAGCCAGGGGCCAGGAGTCCAGCTGCAGAATGTCATTCTGCCAGGGAGGCCAGAGGCCGGAGGCCAGAGGGAGTCAGACCCACACAACCCARGCGCAGGCTAAGTCCAGGGGGACGGAGAGCCCGTCGGCAGGCCACAGGGGGGGCTGCCCACACGGGACAGAAGAAGCACAGAAACGCGTGCCCAGGAAGGTGGCAGGTGACCCCAGGAAGCAGAGTGTCCCCGAGAGCTAGATGCTGACCTCCAGGAACGGGGACGGCGCCCGGCCGATCCATCAAGAGACTCTCCTTGGCGACTTGGGGACATGGCAGGGACACGCGGGCGGCGGGTGCTGCCCCTGGGGCCTCGTCAGCCAAGGGAAGGAGGCGAGGCACCGAGGACGAGGACGCGCAGAGACCACCCGGACCCAAACGTCCACGCCCACGGTCGCATCGGCCCGCGGCCCCGGCTGGCCACCGGTGGCTTCTGCCGTGGAAACAGGGCCCACCCCAGAGGCCCCGGGGCCTGTGCAGAGCCTGCTGATCGCCGTGGAGGCTGGGCTCGGGGACAGGGGGGCCAGACAGCCTGGACAGGGCCTGGGCCCACGGGCCTCTCCTGCGCCGCCTCCTCCGCCTTCCCACTGAGGGTCCCGGGCATCCTTCCCCAGGGCCTGGACACAGAAGCCCGGGACGCTCGTCCGGGTGCACGCSTCCCGTGCAGGGGACAACCCCGGAGGGCCATTCTGGCCTGGACAGCAGAGGGTGCCAAGGGGCACGAGGGTCTTTGGGGGAAGGTGGACATTGGGGAATGACCAAGAGCAGAAATCGCCTGAGAAGCAGCCCTCAGGGACGCGGGGATGCAGGGACGTGGGGACGCGGGGACGTGGGGACGCAGGGGCACGGGGACGCGGGGCCGTGGGGGGAGGCGGAAAGCCTGTGCCCAGGCCCTGGGGCTGGGTGTCGGGGGCTGCAGAGGCACAGGGAGGCGGGAGCAGAGGCTGAGGGGCCGCTGGGCAGTGGGCAGAGGCAGTGGCTCCAGTCCCCCCCCCCCCGCGGCTGGCGGGAACCTGGCGTCCAGTTCTGTCCTCGCGTGAGGAGGACGGGCYCCTGGTGGACAGCAGCCTCCCCACCGAGACCCCCGAGGGGTCACCCAAAAGCCCTCAGCAGCACGTGGAGAGGGCCCGGCCTCCCAGGGGGCCGCCGGCCAGGGGGCACTTTTCCTGGAAAGAGCCAAGGCCCCTGTCCCCTGGCGGGAGCTAAATTTAAAGGGCTGCTAACTGGGGCAGCCGGTCCCTGCTCCGCTGAGGGCGGCTGGTGAGTGTCCCGCGCCACCCCCTGCCTCCTGTCAGGAGCATCCCCAAGCCTCCGCTTCCCATCTTCCAACTGGGCACTCGGACGCCGCCTCAYTGGGGCCCGTTCCCCTTGTCCAGCTCCCTGGGCTTGGAGCCCCCGCCCTGGCCACCCCCCTGCCCCGCGCCCGCGCAGCAAGACCAGGAAGGACAGCAGGGGGGTCGGCTGCACTCCATGGCCTCTGCAGCAGGGACGGGAGGGCGGCAGGTTGGGATGTCCCAGGGGCCACCGAGCTTGGGTCTGGCCCTCGGGGACTTCACAGCCTGAGGGCTCGGGAAGGAGGAGGCCAGAGCTCCTTCCTCCCTCCTCCTTGGCCTCTGTGTAAAGACTACATTTCCCAACTTCCCTTTCTCCGCCAGCTGGGCTCAATCAACAGATCTGGGATTTTCCAGGAGGAGTCCTTAAAAGGGAGGAAGTACACCCTTCTCTTCCCCTTCCTGCTTCCTATTGACMGGAATGTAGTTGCAATGGCTGGAACTTGAGCAGCTATATTAGCTCAAGAGGTGGGACGAGAGTTTGGGGCTGGGGATGTGGCTCAAGAGGTAGCGCGCTCGCCTGGCATGTGCAGGGCACTGGGTTCGATCCTCAGCACCACATACAAACAAAGATGTTGTGTCCACTGAAAACTAAAAAATAAATATTAAAAAGTTATCTCTCTCTCTCTCTCAAAAAAAAAAAAAAAAGAGGTGGAAATTTGGTGCGGTCTTGCTCTCCTGTCATCCCAACATCTCTGGAGGCTGAGGCAGGAAGATGGGAAGTTCAAGGCCAGCCTGGACAACTAAGCAAGATCCAGCCTCAAGATAAAAAGTAAAAAGAGCTGTGGTGTGGCTCCTGGGTTCAACCTCCAGTACCAAAAAAATTCACAATGACAAGACCGCAGCAGTCTGAGTCCCTGACACCACCTGAATTGGCTCTCAGTAGAGATCCATTGTTTTGATATTTATTTCTAAGTTGTGGTTGGACACAATACCTTTAATTATTTTCAATTTTTTTCGTCCTAGATGGACACAAACCCTCATCTTATTTGTTTATTTGTAGGTGGTGCTGGGAACGGGACCCAGGGCCTCACGTGTGCTGGGCAACTGCTCTGCCCCYGAGCCCCAGCCTGGCCCAGTGCGGGTCCACTTCTCATTCCAGCATCTAGAAGGTCGGTTCCATCCCAGCCGCCAGCCCTGGCCCCACMGATGCCTCCGGCAAAGGGCCTGCCAGGCGGCTCCTGCTCCTGTGTCCACTGACACAGGCTCCTGGAAGTCGAGTGGAGAAGACCAGAATGCCCCGTGCCCTCCCCACACAGCCTGGGATGGCATGGACCGCGGCCCTGCCTGCCCCCAGCCCTGCCCCCAGCTGGCCGCTGGGACACGGGGCAGGGTCACCAGCCTGCACCAGGGCTCAGAATGTCTGACCTGGGGCCCACAGGCTGCCACCCAGGACAGGGTGCGGAGGGCGGGAGCTGGGGAGCAGGGACCAGGAGGCCTGTGGGGTGTGCAGCCCCACTACCCTTCCAGCCCCGCTAGAGGGGACGGCTGAGTCCTGGCAGGGGGCCCGGGGGTGGGAAGAGTGGGTTCTGGGAGCCCCCTCCCTGCTGAAGCAACCGGTTCTGTGGTTCTGACCCGGGTAAAGCAGGAGTGTGACAGGTCCGGAGTCAGGCCCAGCGGGGCCCTGTGCCACACTTGGTTCCTCTGATCCCTCCCTCAGGATGGGACAGGGACCCTGGGGTCCTGGAGGGGGGGACCGTTGGTGCTTCTCCAACACAGAGGCTGCTGAGTTGTCCCTGCCCACCCTCCTCCTGGGTCCCTGGTGTGTCACAGTGGGGGCCTAGGGCGTCTGGCAGCCCTCAGACAGCAGGAGCCTGGAGCCAGGCGGGCAGAGCAGGTCTTGGCGGGCTGGTGGGGACTTCCCGGCACAGTGGGGCTTCCGCTGCTCTGCGGTTACTGACAGCTCTATTTCAGGCAAGAGATGGGGGTGGTCCTGTAGGGCGCTCTTGGCCCCTGTCCCTAGGATGACAGCTGCAGGGTCCCCAGCCCTTCCCAGGAGCCCTCCCCTGGGCCTCCCACACCAGCTCTGGGAGCTATGGGTGCTGAGCTGTGGACCCCGGCCCCTCATGGAGGCCCCTCTGCAGACACCACTGCCGACAGTTCAAGGCCACCAGAGGGCTGTCCCCGCCCCCTCTGCCCACCATGTCCTCCCTTGCCTGGGGGGGGGGTCTGTCCACAGGGACCCCTTGGACAGATTCTGTGAAATCACGCATGAGGCGACTGGCGGGGAGTGGCCTTCCCCCCTAGAAGCACCAACAGTCCCCCCACCCAGGACCCCAGGGTCCCTGTCCCATCCTGGGCTCTGAGCCAGACCCTGTCTCTCGGGGTAATGAGATCAGACCTGAGCACTGGGTGCCTGGACGCGGGGTCTGCGAGCTCAGAAACCCTGAGCTGTGGGCTGCCCCCAGGCCCAGGGCAGTGGCCACCAGAGGAGGGCAAACTGTCCTGGGAGGTGGTGGCTCAGCCTGCCTGCAGGGGTGGCCAGAGGAGGGAGGCAGCGCCCCTCCCGCCTCCGCAGGTCCTTCTGTGGCCGCCAAGAGGCTTCCAGGTGTTGTCTTTGGTCGCCCCAATTTCCCCCGCAGGTTGCCCATGATGGTGACGTTATGGAGCTGGTGGAAATTTTTACTGCTTTTGCTTTTGTTCGTGTTTTCTGGCGCCACGCACTAACAGCCCTGGGCGGAGGGTGCTTAAGTGAGGCCGAGGGAGCTGAAACTGCAGGGTGGGAAGCGTCCCTGGGTCCTGGGGCTCTGCGGCTTGCTTACCTCCCCAGATGGGCAGCTCATGATTCCCCAACCCCTGAGCGCGTGCACGCGTGCGTGCAGCCCCTGCTCCCCGCTCTGCGACTCCACTTCCCGGGGTGGGTGACGGCGCGTGCTCTTGGGCGCCAGGTCAGGACTCGTCGTGGACCCCAAGTGCGCCCCGGGACCCCGCCCCGACCGCGCGGGAGGCGCAGGGGACCTGGAGGGCGCGGCGGGGAGGGGCCGGCGGCGACGGCGGCGCGCGAGCAGACCGCAGTGCGGCCGGCGCTAGGACCCGCGGGGGCTCCCAGGCCGCGGCGCCTCCCGCTACCCCCACTCCCTGGCCGTCCTTCCCCCCTAAAAATGAGGAAACCGAATAACTTGCTCCAAGTTGTGGTACCCGATCCGCCCCGGGGTGCGCAGCCGGCTTGCGGGGGCCCTCCTGGGGGCGGGCGCAGGGCGCAGCCCGGGTGCGCCCCCTGAGCAGGTGAGCGCGACCGCGGGGATGGGCAGGAGGGACCCCGCGGCGGGTGGGGACCCCGCGGGCTCTGGAAGGGGGCCCCCGGGCTGCACAGGAGGGGCCAGGGTGCGCGCGGGTGCGCGCGTCCCGGCGCGAGGCGCGTCCGCGGCTGGGGCGGGGGTGGGCAGMGGATCCCGGCGGGCGCGGCGGGGCATGTCTCTGGGTGCGGCGTGCGCAGCTACGAGCCCGGGTGCGTATCGGCGCGTCCACGTGGAGGGCTGTGCGCGTGTGGCCAGGATGCGTGTGCACGGCCCTGCGTGGGGCTCTGCGCGCCCGGGTGGCCCAGCGTCTGGCGCCCAGGTGTTGGTTGTGTGTGTGAGTTGGGGGCGGGGGACAGGTGCACAGCTCCGGGTGGCGAGTGTCTGTCCGCGTATCCACACGCGTGCGCGAGGGTGCGCACCTGTCTCTAGGTGGACCGGCGCCTTTGCCGGTACGCCGGCGCCCTGGTCCCCGGGAAGGAGCCCTTGGGCTCTAGTGCTTGTGTGTAGCCCACGAGTGTGCTGGCCAGTCCCGGGGCTGCAGAGCTTGTGGGGGACAGGCCCGAGGAGCTGGGATCCCACACCTCAACCTCCCTAATGCTCGRCCACCTGCAGCAGGGGACGTGGGAGAGGCAGAGGGGACCTCCAGCCTAACGGCCATGACGGGTCTGTCCAGGGCTGGGGCAGGGGACCCTACTCCTCCAGCAGGGCTGCACAGCCTCCTCTGGCCCAGCTCCACCTCAGGGTCAAAGGTTCTTGGTAATGACCTTGACTCATCCCCCTTCCCCTCCCTGCCCCTGCCCACTGCCAGAAAAGAGGAAGGAGTAGGCGCGGTCAGGTGGCACCAAGCTCCCTACACGTTGTGCTGGCTGCTGGCCTGAGCCAGGCGGTCCTCCCATACTGCCTGTGACCACTGCTCTCCGCCTTTCCCGGGCCTCGGTTTCCCTCTGGGGGAAATGGCAGGACGAACCTCCATGGTCTCCAGGCTGGCATTGTATGGCTGTGACTCGACTAAGGAGCCTCCCCGGGTAAAGATCACTTCCCCAGAGGGGACCGAGGGGCYGTGCCTGGGTCTGACCCGGGATGCCTTGAAAGGCCATCTGTGCCTCCCGGCTGTGCCCCACCTGGCCTGGACTGCAAGTGACAGGGACTGGACCCTGGGGCCCAAGCCTACCCGGAATCGGGACTTGGAGCTTGACTCTGCCCCCTCCCCAGGTGAGCTCTCGCCTTTTGGGGGCCTGGCACCCCCCACCCATCACAGTCAGGATGCCGACCGTGAGTATCCCAGCGCCTGTGCTCTGTCCCCAGCCCTTCCTCAGCTCCGTCCACACCCCAGCAGGAGGCCCACAGCCCGACCCTCGCTCCAGCGCCTTCCCTGCCTTCCCTCCAGGGTCCCTTCTGGGACTCCAACGTTTCTCAGCCCTCTTGCCCTCTCCTCTGCTTCCCCCGGCTGCTTCGATTTTGAGTCCCTCATCTCCCTGTCCCTCCCAGTTTCCGTCTCCTTCCCCTCCTGTCCTCCCTCCCCCCCCTCTGGCTCCCCACGGCGCCCTCACGTTCTTCCGCCCGCTCCTGCTCCCACCCAGAGGCGCTGGGCCCCGGGCACTCAGTGCATCACCAAGTGCGAGCACACGCGCCCCAAGCCGGGGGAGCTGGCCTTCCGCAAGGGCGACGTGGTCACCATCCTGGAGGCCTGCGAGGTGAGTGCGGCGGGGGACCTGCGCGCGCGGGGCTGGGGACGCCCCAGGACCAGGCGCCCACCCCGCCCCTCCCCCGCAGAACAAGAGCTGGTACCGCGCCAAGCACCACGCCAGCGGCCAGGAGGGGCTGCTGGCGGCCGGCGCGCTGCGGGAGCGCGAGGCCCTCTCGGCGGACCCCAAGCTCAGCCTCATGCCGTGAGTGGGCGTGGGCGGCGGGCGGCGGGCGGGCCCGGGGCGGGGCGCAGGCCAGCTGGGCCCCAGCTGTGCTGCGACGYCCGCCCGCCGCAGGTGGTTCCACGGGAAGATCTCGGGCCAGGAGGCGGTGCAGCAGCTGCAGCCCCCCGAGGACGGGCTGTTCCTGGTGCGCGAGTCGGCGCGGCACCCCGGCGACTACGTGCTGTGCGTGAGCTTCGGCCGCGACGTCATCCACTACCGCGTGCTGCACCGCGACGGGCACCTCACCATMGATGAGGCCGTCTGCTTCTGCAACCTCATGGACATGGTGGAGGTGCCCTGGGGCATCAGGACTGGGCCCCAGAGGGCACAGAGGGACCCCAGGGCTCCCTCCAGGTCTTGGCAGCTGGGCAGACAAGGGACCTCCAAAGTGCATCATCCCCAATACAGAGGTGCAGGGGCAGGTCCCTAGGAGGCTCCAGGGCCTCCTCCCATCCCTGGCAGACGGGCAGGTGTGAGCTCCAGGGTGGGATTCTCCTCAGGGCAAAGATGGAGGGCTGGTCCCCAAGGACCACCAGGGGGCCGAGTCACCCTGGTTGTACCTCTGAGGACGAGGTGGCTTCTCTGGGGAGCCCCAGGAACCTCCAAACTGGGGTCAATCCAGGGCCCCCAGAATCCACCCTGCATTTTTTCCGGTTCTCATGAAACCTGCCAACTTTGCCATGCCACCTGAACCCCTCTGGCCCCCTAGCTCCAGCCCACCCCACCCAGAGACCACCTGAAGGGGTGGGCGCAGGGCCAGGCTCAAGGCCACCCCTGCCATTTCTGCAGCACTACAGCAAGGACAAGGGTGCCATCTGCACGAAGTTGGTGAGGCCCAAGAGGAAGCAGGGCACCCGGTCCGCGGAGGAGGAGCTGGCCAAGGGTAGGTGGACACAGGCCTGCCTGGCCCTTCTTTAGCCCGGGCAGCGGGACGCGGGCTGCACACACCTCCTGGCGCGTCCTGGTGCCAAGCACTATGGAACGGAAGGCACTTGGGTGGCCTGGGCAGGGAGTACCACAGACACAGGTTAGCCCCACATTGAGCTCGTGCCGTGTCCCTGTCACCCACCATGTCAYCTGAGCCGGAAACCTGGGCCTTAGCTTGGTCCAGCCCGCCTGCACACTCTGAGGCCGGGTCCTTCCACAGCTCTGGCCACCCTCCAGCCTGGTGCCCGAGTGGCCAGTGTGCCCTTGGAAGCACTGGACCTTCCCAGGCTAAGCATGGCACTGGGTGGGGACGACACTGACTTGGAGTTGGGGGGCTGGAGGAGGAACAGATGGCTTCAGACCCCGCCTCGGGCAGGGCGCAGAGCAGAGGAGCCCATGGAGGCCAGGGTCCTGGAAGGTTCCAGAACATTTATGGGTCTCCATGTTTATTGTGTGTTTTGCTCTGAGTGTTCCTGGTGGTCAGAGGTAAAGGAGGGTGAAGGGACGCCCGTGGGGCATTTGGAAGGACAGAAAGGGTGGTCCCAGCCTCTGAGACCCTGAGACCGAGGGGTTTCCTGGCACTGCCTCTGGGCCCCACAGGGAGTCCCCAGGGCCAAGCTGGGTGTGCGTGCGGGTCTGAGGGGAGCACCCAGCTTAGGTCCCGAGCCGGGGGAGTGGTGGCCTCATCTGTGGGCACTGCCAGGAAGGGGGCTGCAGGAGCGAGTGTCCCCGCGGGGTGCCATGTGGACCCCATGGGAGGGGCCGTGCCACCCCTGACCTGGCCTTCCCCTGCAGCCGGCTGGCTCCTGGACCTGCAGCACCTGACGCTGGGGGCGCAGATCGGAGAGGGAGAGTTTGGAGGTGAGGGCGGAGCTGGAGGTGGGCGTGTGGGGTGGAGGCTTGGGAGTCCCGTTCCCCACCTCCCAGGACAGGTGCGCTTGCCGCGGGCCTGTTTCCCTCTGCCACGCGGTAGCTCCGCTCCTCAGCCCCTCAGCTCCAGCGAGGCCTCTGGGCAGGATGCCGCTGCCCGGAGTCGTCCTGGCGGAGGGCAGGGTCTCCACCTCCTCTGTCAGGGCCAGAGAGGGACGTTTCTGGCTTTGTGGCCAGGTGGACACTGTCCCACTACCGAGCCCCCATCCTTGGAGCCCCAAGAGCATGCTGAGTGCAGGTGACCGTCGCCTGCCTTGAGCCCAGAGGACCAGCTTTGGCCCGGGGGGTGCAGCCCACACCCTGCTCCGGGGGTCTCTGGCCCTGATCTGCAGCCTGCAGGGCCACGGGGCTGGCCCCTGCAGCTGTGTTGGGTGCCCGGGGACCGGGGGCGCGGGCCTGTCTGTTCCCATCACTGGTGRCCTCCTGATCTGTGCCCACCACGCCCAGCTGTCCTGCAGGGCGAGTACCTGGGGCAGAAGGTGGCCGTGAAGAACATCAAGTGCGACGTGACAGCCCAGGCCTTCCTGGACGAAACCGCGGTCATGACGTGAGTCCCGGGCTGGGGAGGGAGGGGGCGGGCKCGGGGCGGTCCACGGCTCTCACGCTCCCCCCGCAGGAAGCTGCAGCACAAGAACCTGGTGCGGCTCCTGGGCGTGATCCTGCACCAGGGGCTCTACATCGTCATGGAGCACGTGAGCAAGGTGCGGCCCGGGCGGGCGCAGGGGGCGGGGCCGCGCAGCCTGGAGCCGACCTCTCTCCCCCCGCAGGGCAACCTGGTGAACTTCCTCCGCACCCGCGGCCGGGCCCTGGTGAACAACGCCCAGCTCCTGCAGTTCTCTCTGTGTGTGGGGCTCCTGGTGGGCAGGTGGGCTCCCCGTTGCAGGGGAGACTGAGGCAGGGAGGGTGGGCCTGTTCTAAGGCTCTKGGCGCCCCTCCCAGGCATGTGGCAGAGGGCATGGAGTACCTGGAGAGCAAGAAGCTGGTGCACCGAGACCTGGCCGCCCGCAACATCCTGGTCTCCGAGGACCTGGTGGCCAAGGTCAGTGACTTCGGCCTGGCCAAAGCTGAGCGGAAGGGGCTGGACTCAAGCCGGCTGCCTGTCAAGTGGACAGCGCCCGAGGCTCTCAAACATGGGGTGAGCCCCCTTCAGAACTGGGAGTTTCAGAGTCCCACAAAGTAGGCACGTGGTCCCAGCTCTGCTGTGTGACCCTGGCACGGCAKAAGGCCTCTCTGAACCTCCGAGGGGATGGCCCTGCCTCTTCAGCAAGCCGGAGGCCCATGGTCTTTCCTTTTAGACTGCCCTCTGCCTCAGTTTCCCCATCTCCGAAGTGGGCATGGGCTTTTCTCTGAGGGGAAGGGTAACAGGGCTCAGCTGGATGGGGGGACCCTCCAGGAGGGGCCGGCCCTGGAGGGCTTCCTGGAGGAAGGGGAGGCCGCAGGAGCCCTGGGCCCCACTCATCCTCTCTTGGGCCCCACAGAAGTTCTCCAGCAAGTCGGACGTCTGGAGTTTTGGGGTGCTGCTGTGGGAGGTCTTCTCATACGGACGGGCTCCATACCCCAAGATGGTGAGCAGGGCCTCCTGAGGATGGGGCAGGGCGGCCCTGCCCTGCCCGTGCTCACGTGCCCCTTGTCCCCAGTCGCTGAAGGAGGTGTCGGAGGCCGTGGAGAAGGGCTACCGCATGGAGCCCCCCGAGGGCTGCCCTGGGCCCGTGCACGCCCTCATGGGCAGCTGCTGGGAGGCAGAGCCCTCCCGCCGGCCACCCTTCCGCAAGGTGTCAGAGAAGCTGACGCGGGAGCTACGCAGTCTGGGCACCTCGGCCACCGTGGGGGCACAGGACGCCGACATGTCCACTCCGCCCCGAAGCCAGGAGCCGTGACCCCACCCGGCAGGGCCAAGGGCCCCAGAGGACCAAGAGAGCAGCAGGGAGCCCGGGGCGGGGACCGGCCAGGCCCAGGGAAGGCCAGGCCACCAGCGGCCCTCCTGGCCCCAGGGTAGGGCCAGCCTGGGCCGGGCAGCKTGGACACTTGGACCTGGGAGCAGAGGACCACGGCCTCTATAAAGACCAGCTCCAAGGCCCTTGGGTGTTCGTGTGTCTGTGACTGGCACCTCCTAGGGGTCCGCGCCGGGGACGCCCGTGGACTTCCCTGGCTGCCGCTGGGCCCCACTGAACCCGCAGTCCCCCGATGGTAGTCCAGGGACTGGACCCAGAGATGGTCACCTGCAGCACCTGACAGTCCACATGGGGCCCCTTCACTGCCCACTCAGGACCCCTCCAGCTGGTCCCCCTGCAGACCTCCATGGGGACAGTGCCCAGGGCTCTGGGCTGGGCCCATCAGCAGGTGTCCCACTGGGGTCCCTCGCGGATGGAGCACTCAGTGACCAGGGACAGCCCCAGCTCCACGGCCCCTCGGAGAAGGCTACTATCCCTCAGGGTCTATGTCTCCTGTCCCCAGCTGCTGCCCCCTGCCACTGTCCCCAACGGCCCCACCAAGGAGAGGGCTCTGCTGTGGCCTCACCCCCTCTGGGAGGTCCTGGGAAGCCCATCCTCCTCTGCGTCCCCCCCGGGCGCCCCAGTGCTGCGGGAGCTTGGGCCAGGAAGCYGGTCAGCACCGGGCAGCGAGGCCCATGGGGCGGGCTGCTCCCCCGGGCGCAGAGCCGAGCTGCCCCAGCCCCTGCCTCCAGGGCCAGCTTCCTGCATCCCCCAGCTGTGCCCCCGTCACGATGGCCAACGTCCTGCCACTTGCCCCGCCCCCCGTCACTGGGCAGGCCCTCCCAGGCACAGGGCACCCCATAGCCCCAGTGCCACACTGCCCTGGGACAAAAGCAGGCCAGATGTCCAGGGCCTCGCACTCGAGCCGGTGCCTGGGCACACACCTGGGGACAGTTGGCCACACCACCCCTCCTTGCCACACCCATCTGTGACCAGGACAGGGACTTCTCTAGGTGGGACTTCAGTGCTCACACTCGAAGTCCTGGGCAGACGGGCCAGCTGTCCCTTCTGCCTGGCCAGGCTCTTTCCCGGGGGTGTGAGGACCCTGGAGGGAGCGGCAGGGAGCATGGGGCGGGGACCCCAGGGCGGGCACACAGCGGGTGTTCCTCGGTGGCTCCCTGCTGACTTCCACAGTCGGCCAGTGACCGGGACACCGAGGAGGCAGGCCAGGCCGTGGCCCTCAGGCGGGCTTCGGTTGCTGCAGGAGAGCACTGGACGGGAGCCAGAGGCTGACCGGCCCTGGCCACAAGTCCACGGCCAGGCTAGGTGCGCAAGGCCTCGCTGTGGGGGGGGCAATGGGCACAAAAACTCCTGGGGACACAACCCTGGGGCCCCTGGACCCCAGCCACCTCCCAGTGCTGACCCCAGTGGAGTCCCACGCAGCTGTCCCAAGGCCAGGCTGACCTCCTGCATGGCTCCTGAAGTCTGTCCACTCTGGCCCCCAGTGCCCGAGGGGTTTAGCAGCTCCGCCTGGGAAACGGGAGGGCAGGAGGCTGGGAGGTCGCTGGCCAGCTGGAGGGCCTCCTGTCCCTTGCCGCCTGCCCCTAATCCGCCCTCTAAGCTGACAGCGTCTGGAGTGCGCTCCACCCATGGGTCTCCGCAGGCCCCTCTGGGCGCCCCTGGGCCCCAGAGCAGCGGATCCCTGGGTGGGAGGTGCGGGGCGGGCGGGGCCCTCTTGTGCCCACTGCAGCTGACTGCTGGGCAGCCCCGCTCCGGCCTCCTGCCCCCCACGCCTTCCCAAACCACGGGAGCCTCTGCCTCTACAGTCGGGCTGGGCGGCAGTGGTTGTGGCCATGCTGCGTCCCTGCGAGGCCCTTCTTCCGTCTGCTGCGTCCCGCTCCCTCCCAGAGGGGTCTCTGGCCCCAACTGGAGCCATCCCCCTCACGGCATTCCATGAGCCTCTCGTGTGTCCCCCACGCCCCCAAGTCCAGGCCACAGGGCACCCTGCGTCTGGGCTGCCCCTCACCCAACGTCCAGCTCCTCCCAAATGCTCTGCCCCAGAAACGCCCTTGGCTCCTCCTGCCCCTTCGAGCCGGCCTCACCCCAGGGCCTCGGGCCTCTCCCCCGGGGCTGTGCCTGCTTCCCCCTGGCCCCAGCTTGCCCACGTGGCCCCTCTGCTGTACACCACGCCCAGCCCCCAGCCCCTCCTCGCTGCAGAGCTGTCCCCAGAGCGAGCTCCTCACCACCCCACACCCCGGCCTCTTCCCTGAAGTGGCCCCGGGGGAGCTTCTGAGGCTCCAAAGCTGGACACCTCGTGTTTGCTGGCCGGCTGCCGGCTGCCCGCTGGATGCCACCTGCATGGTGCACCCGGGACACACCGAGTGCTCCCTACAAGCTCGCTGCATGCGCAGTGAGCACGGGAAGAGTGACCTCCCGCAGACCTCGAGGCCCAACCAGGATGGCYCGTCCTGCTCCCTGGCCGGCATCCAGAGGACCCCTACGACAGCCCTGGCCTCGCTTCCGTCATCTGACACTGAATCTGCCAGCTGCCCCTGCTGGCCCCCATCGATGGCCGCAGCGCCCGCCCSCGGGTCCCTGCTGGGCCTTTGCCGTGGGCTGTCTGCTTGCTCCTCCCTGAGACCCATTTCACAGCCAGGGAAGCTGARGCCAGAGGGGCCTGGACGGCCCACGGGGCGGGGTGGAGGCGAGCCTGGGAGCCCGGCCCCCCGTGCTGCCTCCCTGGAGGCTGGGGACACGGCACCCGCAGGGGGTGGCCGCCTCAATTAATCGGCTCCGACTAATCCTCCCTCCCCTGGGCTCAGCAGATGCCGGGCCGCGGGCTGGTGGAGGGCAGCCAGCCTGGGCAGGCGGCACAGGTGGAAGACTCGGGCCTGAGGGACACACCCCAGGGTCCTCCCACACAGAGCCCAGGAGAGGGGACGGGGAGGAGCGGCAGGAGCAGACGCTGCAGCAGTGGGGACGGGAGGGCGGGAGGTGACCCCAGAAAGACGGGGTGCGGGGCAGAGGCTGAGGCGCAGGTGGGCTCCCCTGCCTTCCCAGGGACAGTTCCTCCCACTGTCTCACCACACTCTGTCCTGCTGTCCTCCCGGCCAGGTGAGAAGCCATGTTCCTGAGCCTGGGAGAGGGGCCGGGGCCTGAGGGTGGGGGCCTGGCGCCGGGCGAGGAGGCCCCCAAGAAGAAGCACCGCAGGAACCGAACGACCTTCACCACGTACCAGCTGCACCAGCTGGAGCGGGCCTTCGAGGCCTCCCACTACCCGGACGTGTACAGCCGCGAGGAGCTGGCGGCCAAGGTGCACCTGCCYGAGGTGCGCGTGCAGGTGAGGCCCCAACCCGGGCCTGGGGCTTCCTGGTGGAGGCCGGGCGCCAGGCCTGGAGGAGTGGGCGGGAGGGAGGCAGGGGAGCCCCAGAGGCCTGAGTGCCCAGGGAGGAGGCCAGGCCCACGCCGGAGGCAGGGACCCCTCAACCCAGAATCTCGGAGCAGCACAGCAGAGCCACTGGCAGCGCGGGCGGCCCTCAGGGGCCTGGGGAGGGGGAGGCAGGGGCCGAGCTCGCAGCAGCACCCCACCACTCCCCAGGTCTGGTTCCAGAACCGCAGGGCCAAGTGGCGCCGCCAGGAGCGCCTGGAGTCAGGCTCAGGAGCGGTGGCAGCCCCGAGGCTCCCAGAGGCCCCCACACTGCCACTTGCCCGTCCCCTGGCCCTGCCGCTGCCCCTGGAGCCCTGGCTGGGCCCCGGCCCCCAGGCGGGGCCAGGCCTCCCCCGYGTCCTGGGCTCAGCCCCAGGGCTGCAGGCCTCCCTGGGGCCACACGCCTTTCCTTCTACCTTGGCGGACGGCTTCGCCCTGGAGGAAGCGTCCCTGCGGCTGCTGGCCAAGGAGCACGCACAGGCCCTGGACAGAGCCTGGCCACCAGCCTGAGATGAGCCTGGTGACAGCAGCCAGCCAGACCAAGCCGTCTCCGGGAGCAAGACCTCGACAGGCTGCTGGGAACCCTGCCCTGTGCCCCCACCCTCCCCACTCCACAGCCAGGTGACACCCAGCAGGGGGGCCTGAGGACCTGCAGGCCCAGGCAGGGACCCTGCCCTGCGGGCGCCTCGGCCCCTCAGCCCACGTGTCCGGCAGGCATGGTGCTGGGCGCCAGGTTCCTGAAGTGGCTGCCCAGCCCTTCCCCCACAGGGCCCAAAAAGTGACAAACAGCAGCAGCCTCCTGTCACCTTTACCCTGCGCCTGCAGGTAGCCCTCCCGCCACCAGTCCTGGGAGGCAGGCTCCACCGTCAGCCCCTTGAGGGAGGAGGCCCAGAGACGGGCGGCCAGTTTTCTGAGGCAGCACAGCCAGCAGGGCTAGAGCTGGTGGGGGCAGCGCCCTCCAGGGCGGCTCAGGGACACACACAGGCAAGGGTGGCTGGCGCTGGGTGCTGCTATCAGCTCCTGCTCCCTCCACACCGGGGGATGGGCAAAGCAGACGTCCCCACAGCCCATGGCCCACACCTGGACGGCCCACACCTGGACGGCCCACACCTGGACAGCCCTCCGACCTCCCAGATCAGGGCGAGGCGCCGTGGAGGTGCACCCGGGGGCTGGGCGCAGGGGGGAGAAGAGGCCACAGGCCCAGGTCGACACCCAGAGCACCTGCATGCCCACCCCACCCTCCACCCCTCAGCCCACCMGCTAGCCCTGCCCTCCAACACCCAGCCACCTCCACACACACCACCTGTCCCAGGCTGGAGACAGCGGGAGGCAGACGCAAAATATTAAAAACACRACTGCACCAAAACATGGAACGTGAGATGGTGGCGAGTGCTGGTGAGAAAGACCAGGCGACTGGTTGTGCGGCAACTTTAATGGGGGGACCTGGGGAGGTGGCAGGGAGCAGCTGGGGAGTTATCTGGGAGAAGAGCACTCTAGGCAGAGGGCAGAGCTGTGCAAAGGCCCTGGGGCAGGAAAAGCCTGGTGTCTTACAGGCTCAGCAAAGGGTCCCTGTGGCTGGAACAGAGGATGAAGGGGTTAAGGGAGGTGACCAGGCAGGGTGGGCAGGGCAGGTACAACCTGAGAATCAGGAAGGAACGGATGTTTGCACCTGTGACCAGCCAGGGAGCAGGTGCCTGGTCACCTTCTGCAGAGCCTGCTGAGAGGACGAGGGCTCTCATCTCCCTGGGACCGGGCAGAATTAGAGGTCTCTTGCAGGGTCCAGTCTGTAGCCAGAGAGGCCTGGAGGGGGCAGGCCCAGGCCATCAGTGGACCTGTGTGGGGCAGAGTCCTCCGAGAGGCCCCTGCTGCGYGTCACTAGACACCCCCCTGCCCTCCTCCAATCTGGTGGGCTGGGGTCTTGCTCCTAGGCCGTCCTCACAGCTGGGCTGGGCGAGAGGATACAGGGTCTGGGCTCCCCTTGGGCTGCCCACCAGGCTCATGATGCAGCTGAGGAGGGCCAGGCGGGAGGGAGGACCAGGCCTTTGAGCTCAACTGACTGCCCGGAGCAGTCCCCTCGCCCAGCTCCACTTGCTGAGTGTGTGTGTCGGGGGTGCTGGCCAGGAGACCTGGGGCTGGGGGGTAAAGATCCAGGGACAGACCAGACACAGGTCTTTATCTCAAAGCACCTGAATCCAGCCCTGCCCGAAGCCCGACACCTGCACCTGGGCTTTTCAGTTCCTGAAGCTCAAAGGCTCTGTCCAGCTCCCAATAGCCCTGGCAGAGACTTCCTGAGGACAGCCTCCCTTCCTAGGTTGGGGGCCGAGGGCTCTGGACAAGGCCAGGCACTGCAGCAGCCCACTGAGGCCTGGGGAAGGGGAGGGAAGGCCGGCGCCTGCGGGGTGGGCAGGTCCAGCTGCCTGCCCGCTCGCTACAGCTTCCTGCTCTTGCTCAGCCGGTTGTGGCGCCAGATGTTGAGCTTCCGCAGCAGCCGCCAGTACTCCCGCGTCTCGGGGTCCAGCTCCTCCAGCTTCTTCGGGGGGCCCACGTTCACCTGGAACAGCCTGGGGGCGGGGCGGGGCGGGGCTCAGGTCTGGGCCAGTCGCCGGCGTGACCCCTGGGCCTGGGCGGGGCCCACTCACCACTCGGGGTACTCGGCGTCCGGCTTCAGGGCCACGTCCTGGCCGGCCTTGTAGATGTTGACGCCCATGGCGTGCGTGGCCAGCCGCACGGGGTCGGTGCACACTTCCGGGTCCTTCAGGGCCTCGCTGACCACACTGCCCTTCCCGCCCTTGGCGCCCTTGGCGACTGGGGAGCAGGGGAGAGTCAGGCTGGCCCCGCTCCCCCTCCAAGGCCCTGGGGCTCTCCTACGTCCCCCATCGCGGGGACCCGGCTAGGCGAGCCGAGGGTGGCCTCATCCCCCCTCGGGGTCCGGCTGTGATCCGGTCCACCTCGCGGAGAAGGTCTCCCTCCACTGGCCGCGCGTGTGTCTAGCCCTAACACTGGCCTGCTTCCTCCTTTACGGACATCAGGCAAGGCTGTACCCAGGTACGACTTCACAACTAAATAACAGGGAACTTCGTACTTAGACGGGCCACATCTCTTTCTCCGACTCCCGGAGGCGGCTCGTGCCAAGGCTCACAGCCACTTGGAAGCAGAAATCAGGAGAACCCTCGCTCCCGCCTCCCGAGACCAGCCCCGCTCTCCCGCGCCTGCGCACTGACACGCGTCCGCGGCTGAACGCACACCCGGCCAACGGCGGCGAGGTTTCGGCCGGCGGCTGCGCACAGAGCGCAGTCGCATCCGCAGGTGTCTCCCAGACGCGCGCCGGCGCTCCGAGTGGCCCCAAACGGCGCCTGCGCACACAGCCTGTGCTCTGTCTCGGCACCTGCGCACAAACTCTAGACCCACCTCCCCAACTGGCGCCTGCGCGCCACCAATTCCCCGCGTGTCCACCGTCCCTATCTTGATCCCTAATACCCCGGCTCACTCGGTTTCTTGGCGTAATTCCGAACCCAGAGTCTTCCAGGACAGGACCAAGAGTCTARGATCTCCCGGGTCCCCCAGCCGGCCCAGGCCCGAGTAGCCCCGAAGAGGCGTCTGGCCGCCATGGCGTAGGTCGGATGCCGGCGCGCGCTCGTTTCCGGGAGACGTGGGCCCGCCGGCCGCGGGGACTCCTGGGAAGTGTGGTCTCGCCGGCGCCGGCCAGCCTTCTGCCCACCGCGACTTTGGGGACGGCCCCAGTTCTAGCGTGACGCGATATTCAGCGGACATTTCACTAACTTCTTGCCCTTCTTCAGATACTTCAGATACCTCACCTCACGTATTCCTGGCTCGGTCCAATAAGCACTGCTTTGAAAGCAGCGTACCCTGAGAACATTCTGGACCTACTGCTCAATCCTTACCCGCCGTTAGGAGTGGGCACCGCTGTCCCGCTCGGCAGGCCGAGTTCCGAGGCCGGGGAGGCCACTCGCCCCGCCTACTCGGAGCCCAACCGGAAGTGCGTCTGCCACCAGACTCACTCCTCTTCAGTATTCCCGGCCCCACTTCTTGCCCACGAGCCATCCCAGCCGTAAGAGGCACGCAGTAATCTCATTTTGCGGAGAAAGGGCCAGCCTGGGCTCCCTCTGAGAGACTGGAGGGTCGGGATTCGAACTCGTGACTCCACACCCGTCGCAGCTCTGGCGCCCCCGTGTGGCGACAGGGGCTTGGAGGACTACGTTTCCCAGCAGGCCTCGCGAGGCCACGCATGCCCAGTGGACGGGGCGCCCGGGGACGGAGGAGCGGGCGTCCGGGCCGTGAGTCAACGAGCGGCGGCGGGCAGGGCCGTCGGGACATGCCCCGGCGGGCGCGAGGACCTGGGGGCCGCGCGGGCGGGCTCTGCCTCGGCTCGGCAGGTGAGCGGGGCGGGCGCCGGGGTCCGAGTCCACGGGTCCGGGGAGGCGCGGGGTCCCGCGGCCGGCGTCTCCCCGGCTGTGGGCAGCACTGGGCAGCCGCTGGCGTGGGGCGGCCGCCGAGCCTCGGCTGGCTGGTCAGTGAGTGGGGGCGCGGCCCTTGCAGGCGCAGCGAGGACCCCGCGGCGCGCGGCGGGAGCAGCCCCGGGAGGAGCGGGCGCCCAGCAAGCCCCAGCCCCGGGTGCCTGGGATCCGCATGGGGACGCCGGCCGGAGCCTGAGCCAGCCGCGGACTTCCTGACGCCCCCCGGCCGCGCTCAGAGCCTCCAGCCATGGACTGGGAGAAGCCCAAGGACACGCTGGTGCCCTCGGAGGACCTCAGCACGGAGAGTCAGTGGGATTCTGTGCCTGAGGCCCTCGGCAGCCTGAGTCCGGTGGACCTCGAGGGGTCAAGCGTTCAGGGCCTGGTGCAGCAGTTTGAGGCTCTGCCCGGAGACCTGATGGGCCTGCCCCCAGACAGCGCACCCTGCCCTCTGCACATTGCCACTGGCCAGGGCCTGGACCCCCACGACACGACTGACGCCCACGGCCTCTTGTCTGCTGAGGCTGGTCGGGATGATCTTCTGAGCCTTCTGCAGGGTGAGGGGCACTCGCCTTCTAAACCTGGTCCCCAGGAGCCTCCAGAGCCTGCCCATCCCCTGTTGCAGCCCCCTGAGGATGCAGATGAAGAGTCCGAGCCCCCGGAATGGGCAGAGGGAGCCTCTGCCGAGCAGGGTGGTAGCAGGAGCTCCAGCAGCTCCCCTGAGCCCTGGCTGGAGACCTCTCCTTTGGTCACACCCGAAGAGCCACCAGCCGGTGTCCAGGTAGTGCCTGCTCCACCCTCCAGGTGTCCTCTGCAGCCTGGACTCAAGCAGGGGGACTCAGCACTGCCCCTCTTCTGTCTCCTTCCAGAGCCCCAAGACCCTGGCTTCATACCCTGCCCTCCAGGAGGGTGAGTGCCCTTCCCACCCTGCCTAGGGATCAGGGTTCCGACAGCCAGCCTGCCTCCTAGGTGGCGCTGAGGGTTACCATGMGGATGAAATTCTCGGGAAGCTCTTGGCAGTTTGGATCAGAGTTTAGA